GTCATATAGTTATCAAACTCGTACATATTACATAGGACATTCTAACAAATGTTCGTTAGTAAACCCAAGATTACCGTGACATTTGTTTCATTATTTATAGGTTGCAAAATGTTTTGCCAAAAATGTCATTTGACTAACAAAGTTACCACTTACTTGGATAAAGGTTAGAGCAAAATATACACAAGTACCTTCTTATTTGATCTGCAAAACCTTGTGTCTTTTCCTCCTTTGTGTAGACGTGTGTCCTGTGCAATAATTTCCATGGATGGTACTGATTATCTGCAATGCACCCTGAAATAGAAACAACAAGACTGATTCTCTAAAATATTTCACATAAAATAGCCAAAAACATGTCCTGTGAAGGTTTAGTTCTTTTTGTTCATTACATACTTACACTACTCTCTGCTGATTTCGATGCATTGTCGATGCTTGCTGATCATGCCCTCGGATCCCAAATTAGATGTTCAGAGATTTGTTGCACGTAGCCCGCTTCGCACTATGGCGATTCATATAGAACCTGAAATATATATTCATTTTATTTGAACATCATTCAAATAAACGGAAACGTTCAAATAGTGACACTTGCAATTTGGATTGGAATTTCATCTCATAATTTATAAATAAAGCGTGTGGAACAATGGCAGAAATGACGGTCAAAATGGCGAGTAATATGTCGTCTGCTATGCGTTTTGTAAGGGGCCGGTTTTACTTCGTTGGGATCAGCATATGAATATATCGCCGAAATATTACATTATTTTAGGTACGTATTAAATATGAAACAAAAGTATTCCTAGATGGATACTTACCACAGACACCTCAGATCATAGGAAATTGTAGCGCCAAATACATGCGACGTCACGCCAGTTTCTCACATAACGGATGTGAATCACAGAGCATGGACAGCTTTGAATGCTTGTTAGAAAAACAGAACACCGATGTTCTATTAATGGAACACGTGTTCTCGCATATAACATTATAGAACACAGCAGAACACATGCGTTCTAGGAGAGAACGCAGGCGTTCAGCAAATAGACCGTATATGTTCCAGAGCACCCATTAAAGATCCAGCTAAAATTAGCCATCAGAATGCCAGTGTTCTGATACACGTAAATGTCCCCAATGCAAGCAAGTTATTTCCATGTATTAGCAATGAGTTGTATTTCAGTAATGTTTCTTGTTGTATTTATTCAGGCTACATATGAGTTATTATTAACACAAAGTATGCCATGTTTATAAACTATTTATTATTCATCAAACTCAAAATATAACCCTTCTTATACACATTTTCTGTTTGACATACCAATCTACCAGCCTCTCTTCTTCTCAAAAATAAATATTCCGAAAACACAAATATGATGGTCGAATTTAAATTTGTCTAACAGCATTCAGCACATTAACTCTGCTAATGTGCATGGACTTCTCCCAGGAGAGAACACACGCGTTCTACATCAGATCACAGGCGTTCAGCAATAGAACACGTGCTGCACGAATTAGAACATTCGTATTCTGTGGCAGAACGTATGGACGCGTCCAGTGTTCTATATTAGAACACATAGATTTAGAGTGTAAGAAAGGGGAAACTTTAGTTACAATTCATCCTCATAAACTTATATACTGAAATTTAACAAGTTTTGTGCAAATAGAAAAATATGATAAAGATGAAGATTACAATGTAATTTTTTTCAATGCTGAGCTCCATAGAGTCTTAGGCCAAGCTCCTAACACGGATAGGTGTGCTAACAAAGATTGTGAAATATATTTGATCATACCTGGCGAAATGACTGTTATAAATCCAATACCTAAACCTGTACTGATCGTTCTAATGTTAAGCCTACATCATATACTATCTGTATTCGTAAGACCATCGTCACGCCGAAGGCCCGGGTTTGATTCCCCACATGGGTGCAATGTGTGAAGCACATTTCTGGTGTCCCTCGCCGTGATATTGATGGAATATTGCTAAAAGCGGCGTAAAACAAAACTCACTCACTCGTTAGACCATGGAAGTATGGTCAATGACAGATTAATAAGGTACTTAGAAATTAATAATTTTATTACAAATACTCATTGTGGTTTTAAAATTTAAAAAAAAATAGAAGTCAGATCATTTGGTTTCATTGGAAACATTTGTTTAAAATGCTATCATCAAAAAGCAACACACCGTATCTCTATTTTTCGATCTACAAAAAGCGTATATGATACGATCGGGAAACATTTTTAAAGATCTTTGTGAGATTAGTCCGTTTGCCTAATTTTATGTAACACATTTTATCATATCTAGATGACACTCCAGTTATGAAAGAACCCAAGTTCCAATATTTGACAATCAGCTTACGTTTCTGTCTCGTATGAAAGCAAAATGTCTGAAGACACTGGATATATTAAAATTTGTTTGTATACTAGTCCGAACTTATGCAGAATTTATAGTACCAGCCCACTGAGACACAGTACAATGGCTCTGACCCACTAATCCCTGTCTAACCCCCTCAATGCCGAGCGTCAGGCAGGGTAAGAGCAAGTACCATCTGTTAACGTCTTCAGGGAGTTCGCCGCCCGGGAGACGCTCTATCTACGTGACCACGGAGGCGGTCTCGTTCAGTCCATATCTATCAAGTACATAGATCATATTGCTAGTTATTAACCTGTCCTTCAATGACAGTTACAGCATAACTGAATAACTTGCTCAAGTCACAATATGGTTGAAATATCGCCGATGCGACTTAAAATTCAGTCACTCACTCTATAGATCACAAGTCAATTTGACTTTTCGCTATCTTAGAGAAAATACAAAGTAAGCAATGAAATGTGCATATCTCCCTTTAAAAGGTTATAGACCTCCAAACTGCAACGGTCGACAGCAGATCTAATGGCTACACCACTTTCATCATCGACCTCTGTCACGCTGCTGAGCCGACCACGCTTGTTTTGTGCAGACAAACGTGAGGAATATGAGAGGACATGTGGTGTCATCCACTACTTCCGAAGAAACAACCATTTTACTTTGCCCGAGACTGTTGCCGGACCTTCGTTCACGCCCGTTTCCACACTTTATAGGTATACATACTACCCCGAATGGATGATAACATACTGCGATCATCTCAGAAATTTATGAACACAACACCATATATACCACGAACAGACACATGCTACCTCTTGTCACTACACCTTCCACACTGCATCTTCTTTACAACTCGTGTCATCTGCCTTTTATGGATGGAGCACAGTGGTCCGAACAAATAAATGTGTGAATTTCAAATTGTATGGTCTTATTTTGTTTACTCACATGACTATATCCCATTTTAACACCTCAGAAATTGTTCACCCATGGGATTCTGAACTTGTCCACCAGTGAGTTGTGTTTAACACCGCTTTTAACAGTATTCCAGTTATATCACGGCGCGACAGCTTCATGTGGGAGGGAAGCCCGAAGTGATGCAAGTCTTAGACATTTACCACTTCGGTGAAACCTACGAGCACGGGTATGGTGCTGACAAACCTAGAAATATAATTGGGGTGAACCAGGATTTAAACCCACAATCATAGGTTTCTGGTGTGCCCAAGGGACGCAACTCTGTACAGGGAATCGCGGCGCTTTAGACGACTGGGTCATCCGTAGACACACAGCAATATTCCATCTATATGACGGCGGTCTGTCGAGTCTGTGCCAGACAATCCAGTGATTGATATCACGAGCATCGACCCACGCAACTAGGATACGATGACATGAATTAACCAAGACAGCGAGCCTGGCCACCCGATCCCGTTAGTTGCCTCTTACGACAAGCATAGTCGCTTTTACGGCAAGCATGGGTTGCTGAAGACCTGTTCTACCCCGGATCTTCACGGGTCGGCAAAGTATGTAGCACTGTGAGCATTCACCTAGTGTATGGAGTTAAGCGAATAACAAATGTAGTTATTATTATTACTTATTTAATATCTAGGCGTGTAATGTAATATACATGATGGAATTTACAGATACTTAACATGCGAAAAATTAAAGTTTACGCCTTAGAGTGTGAATTAAAAGATATGTAACCAAATTCAAGTTTACCAGGTCAAATGGTGAATAGTGAGGCACGTACGAATTAGCCAAGTTACAAAATTTAAACGTAAAGTGAAAATATTAAGTTGCTATGTACAGCTGTAAACTGTACCTAGACTACAACCCACCAAACAACGGCCAAAACATGAATATGCATGACTTTCGCTGTGCATGATAATACACCTCGACTGTAATTGGGATTCCCCGACATTCTGCACCGGTGAAAGTAGTCCGCTTCGGTAGGCGTGGCTTATTTTTTTAATAACACATGACCAATTCAGCTAATTAGAATGCAGGAATTATACCATGAACACAACGAAAATTTATTTTTTTTGATTAAAGACTGCACGAGGCAAACGGAAGCAACTTTAACAGTGATATCAAATTGTGTTGTGGCCTGTACACGAAAGTAGTTCCACGGTGGATTCCTGACAGTGCTTATTTTGGTTCTATGTTGACGTTAGCTATTCACGATAATGACTAATGATGAAATTAAATAAAAATTATATTACACCAGAAAAACGTTATCATCACAAATATGAAAAGATTATGAGGGATGAGTGTTTGTGTATAGTACAGATCAATGACATCGATATGTGTGATAATCAATTTGTTTTTAGATTGACCCACAACAATCGATACCAGATATATAGTCAAATGTACCGTATTTCCCTCTGTCGTGAACATCTCTTTGACCGTTTAAAAATAGAGTACATCGAACGTGTATATTGCCTGGTATTGTGCTAGTCAGGATGTGTCACAAAACTTGGAAATGCATTCCGTTTATGCGTCTTTTGTCGAATAGGTGCAGAATTGCTGATGCGGCGTTAAGAAATATTCACTTAGATATAACTCTCACTTTATACCAGAAACATAGCGTCACAACGTCAATCGGAGCTGTAGCTTATGAGTTTCACCAACAAGGCCGATGTGCTCTGATTGGATTGTGTATACTTTCGTCACTTCCTGTTTTCAGCCACCATTTTGGAAAATAAATAGTGTCGATCTTTGTTTAGCTGCGTCAGTGTGCGTACGGACAAATACTCGACAGTCTATCGTCTCTGCCTTTGCTCGAAAGAAAAATCTGAAATCAAACAATGTCGCAAGTACGCCAAAACTATCACGAAGACTGCGAGGCAGGCATAAACCGCCAGATAAACATGGAACTGTATGCCAGCTACGTTTACCAGTCTATGGTAAGTTTCGACAGATTTACTGTACGCTTTGTCGCTTCAGCAACTGTTCAGAGATAATACTTAATGGTCCTTACGTAATAGTCACAGTGTCGATGCGTAAAAACTTCCATTTCTTCGAGCCCTTTTATGATCTTCAGAATAGCAATACTAGAACGTGTATTATTTCCAATGGGAGCCGCTATTTTCATTAAGGATCCAAGTGCTAAGGATAGTTGGTGGTAACTTAACCTTTCCGTTACACACGTAACCATAAGGATCGTATGTATGTAGTATATACAGGTATTACGTAGTGTATTATGATGCTTTTGCATGGCGAACAGATTCGCTATCGCTTCCTGCTGATATAATGTTCATTGCTTACAGTCGATTCCTGGCAAGCACAATGAGGAAAAAGAGTACTTTGCCACTCCCTCCCCTTGATAACTATCATCAGTAGCCATCATGATAATGAGAAAATTAGGGATTTTCCTGTTTCTGTTATTTTGTGTGTCCAGTAATAATTTTTGGTCCAACATGGTCAAATGCATGTCCCCAGACTTCCAACATGTTGTACACATCACTTGATTTCCTAGACTGTAACTAATGGCGTATCACTGCACCATTGACACATTGAGTGTATTTTTTACAGGTTATAGTCAAAAGGGTCACAAAGACATTGGTCAAAATGGCCACAAAAGAAGTCAAAATGGTCACAGATCCCTAGTCAAAATAGCCACAGATCCCTAGTCAAAATGGCCACATAAAAAAGTCAAAATGGTCACAGTGAAAAGTAAGGCAATATGTGATCTGCTTCCCCCCGTGTTCATTCCCATCCCTCTGACACTTAGTCAGTCCAATCTTGTGTGGTCAATCAACACAGTATCAAAGAATGTATTACCATTGTTTTGTTATATGAATGTTTACATATTGGCCTTGTTATAGGTTCAAGGTCAATCATATTGGCTTGAGGCAGGCTGTATTGACTGACCAGAGGATAAATACTAAGACCAATGTAAAAACTCTCATTTAATGACGAGGGCACAGATGGCCCAGTCGTCTAAGGTCCCTTGGGCATGCCAGTAACTTATGATTGTGGGTTCGAATCCCAGTTCGCCTGATTATGTTTCTAGGTTTGTCAGCACCATACCCGTGCTCGTGGGTTTCACTGAAGTGGTAAATGTCTGAGACCTGCATCACTTCGGGCTTTCGTCCCACATAAAGCTGACATGCCGTGATATAATTGGAATACTGTTAAAAGTTGCGTTAAACACAACTCACTCACTCTTTTAATGACATATTTCTTTAATGACAACCTAAACTATTGGTTTCCAAGTAGTACCAGTGAAGGATATCAAGAAAAGGCTCTAACGATGACAGCATTCTATCACCTTGTGATTGTACGGAATGCAATTTACATGCAGAAGCAATATTGGACTGGCAAAGCCATATTGACATGTTCATAACCTGTATTTGCCCTCCAGTTTTTTCCATATGATGCCGGTCGATGGAGCATATTACGGACCATTGATTCGTAATATTGTGTTATTATATTGGTGTTTTCATTTTGGCCTTGTTATAGGTCCAAGGTCCATCATATTATCCCCAGTCAGTATAAACTGAGGGCGAATATGACAGTGAAGGATATGTAACCATAGAAACACTTCACACATGTTCACACAGATCCTTTGAACAGAAGGTTTAGTGTTATGAATCTCTTTTCTTTGTCTTCAGGCATTCCACTTTGACCGAGACGATGTTGCTCTGAAAGGTTTCCACAAATTCTTTAAAAAGCAATCTGAAGAGGAACGTGAACATGCAGAGAAATTTATGCAGTTCCAGAATCAGAGAGGTGGTCGTATTGTGTTGCAGAATGTCCAGGTAACAAATTGTTATTGACACAGAAAATGTCTAGTGGTAGGTATAAAATATGCCATACTTTTGATTGCAGCTTTTCATGAATGTGTTTATACTTATGTAGTCAACAAAAACAGTAAGGGATCCTGAATGTTTTTGGAGATATTGCATATGGCATTGTGTGCTCTGTCTTCACTACAAGAAAATATTCATGATCCCTAACTGATTTTGTTCAGTACCAGTATATTTATACTTCTGCTTTTTAGTTGAAAATATATATCTTTGTCATCATTACTGAGAAAATGATTATTTGTAAAAGGAAAATTATCAATGATTATTAGACTGGAACAGTTGGTGTGGCATCATCATGTATGGTAATGAAAACATGAATGTACCATGGATTTTGTCATGTTCATGTATCAATCCACCTGGCTGATAAACTCGATGAAACTTAATGTCCAACTGTCTTTTTTTAAGTACATGAATATTCAGAAGTATATGTCCACAACGCCAAGAAAGTATGATTTGCAGTGTGAAACGGGGGACATGGATGACCTTGTTATATACGTGTTGCGTCTCTGAGGCATGCTAGAATCCAATGATATGGGTTTGAATCCCAGATTCACCCTGATTATATTTTTAGGTTATATGCCATGATATATCTGAAATACTGCTCAAAGTGGCGATATTCCTAACAAACGCACACATATGGTGAAACATTAAAAACACAACTGCTAACTGTTTTTGTTTTTTTATCATGGTAATCATTTACAAATGTTTTGAAATATTTGGAGAATGTTTATCATCCTTTTCTACAATCAAGTTACCATGATTAAGTTCATTCACATTATTTTATGACCTCATGACCTCTCATTTATATACAGTTCAAAGTTGCATTTACTTGTAGTGAGACCCGTGAAGATCCGGGTTAGAAAAGGTTTTCAGCAACCCATGCTTGTCTTCTTGTAAAAGGAGACTATGCTTGTTGTAAGAGGTGACTAACGGGATCTGGTGGTCAGGCTCACTGCATTGGTTGATGCATGTCATTGATCCCATTAGTGTGGATCAATGCTCATGATATTAATCACCAGATTGTCTGGTCCAGACTCGATTATTTACAGACCGCCATCATACAACTGGAATATTGCTGAGTGCGGCGTTAAACAACAAACCAACTAAAATGATTAGGAAGACTCCTTGCCTATCCTTGCCTTGAATAATATGTTACATGAGCTTTATGTTGGGACTAATAGCAGTGTTTGAAGTTGAGAGAGCACATCCCTCTGTAACTTTTAACATTTGGGTTTACTATAACGGGTACCCCTAGACTTTCAGGCATATTTTCGACAGAATTGTTTAGAATTGTAAATGTCATTTATTACAATGGATTAATCCCATGTTTTTCTTCCATGTTCAGAAGCCTGAGAGAGACGAGTGGGGATCTGGTCTTGATGCTATGCAAGCCGCTCATGCCCTGGAAAAAAATGTCAACCAGGCCCTTATTGACCTGCATGGGGTAGCTGATACTCACAATGATGCACATGTAAGCACTGTTGCATATATATAGGGGCATAATGTATAATGCAGTGGAAATGATTTAGTAAGTAATCATTGGTAATTTGACCAGAAAAGTCCCTGATGGAAACAATGAACATGACTGCCATCTGCCAGGGGATTGGATGGTCGGTGGTTCGATCCCGGGCCACGTCATACCCAAAGACAGTGAGAAATGTTTCCCTGTCTGGCACTTGGCATTCAGGGGAGAAAAGAAAGACTGGTTGGCTTGAGTTACAATTGAGTTTGAGTGGGGTATACATGTTAAAACTCAGTGGCAAGCACTGTCAGTGTAAAACCAGCAGTCGCACACATACATGCATGATTCTCTCTATATACCATACTCGACGTAAAAAGCGCCTGCTCTAATATGCGCCCACAGCGATATTTGCTAATATATTGGCTAGTGAACAATCCCAATTAGCACCCCTTACGATTGATCAATGTACACAAGACTTATTTATTTGTGTTTAATACGCACTCGTGTGTTATATGCACCCTTAATTATGGGCAATTAAATTCTGGAAACTATCTGTTGTATGTAACATTTCAGGCTGTCAGCATAAACCACAAAATTTACAATCTTTCACCAAAATAATATTCTAATAAGAGCCCCCTTTTCTAATTTTGAGAGTGCCCTGAGCGATTATTACGTCGAATACGGTAAGTGCAATACTCTTGAACACAACATTAAAACCCCATTTCAACTCACCTGGTCCACAAGGGGGATTTATGTTCTACCACCTGAAGCCAAGGTTTGTTTTATGTCTACACTTTGTAGGTAGTACGAAGTTTGAAACAGAGAGAAATTATCTCCGTGAACTTTAGGATAAGTATTCACTGCCATATCAGGATTAGTCTACACCATAAGAATGGATTTAGAAGATAAACAAATTGCTGTATAAAATCCAACTTGATTAGACTACCAAGTATTTTGATTGTGTTCGTGAAATTCAGTTGCTGATCAATAACGTGAACGTTCAAGTCTGTACTTTTCTGATCTTGGCTTTCAGCAACCCATGCTTGTCGTAAGAGGTGACCCATTGGATCGGGTGGTCGGACTTGCTGACTTGGTTGATACATGTCATTATACCCAATTGTGTCGATCATTGCGTGTGATATCACTGGATCGTCTGGTCCAGACTTGATTATTTACAGACCACCGTCATATAGCTGGAATATTGCCGAGAGTGCCGTTAAACAACAAAGAAACAAATTGTAGGATGTTTGTTTGTGATACATGATTTGTCAGCACTTCTGTGAAGTATCAACAAGTAGATTATTAATCATGAGTCATGATAATGTAGCACCTCTCATTAATGCACACGTCTTCGTGCGTCAAGTCTTTGTCAGTTGGATAATACTTCCATATCAGTGAAAACAGATCTAATGTCTAGAATAAAAGACCCATGAATATCCGGGTTAAAATAGGTCTTCAGCAACCAATGCTTGCCGTAAAAGGCGACTATGCTTGTTTGTAAAAGGCGATTAACGGGATCGGGTGGTCAGGCTCGCTGCCTTGGTTGATGCATTTCATCATATTCCAATTGCATAGAACAATGCTCATGACATCAATCACTGGATTGTCTGGTCAAGACTATTATTTACAGACCACCGTCATATAACTTGAATATTGTTATGTGCGACATTAAACAACACACAAACAAATCTTGAATAAAAGCTTCTTTTTATCTTGCTTTTTCAGATGGCAGATTTTATAGAGGAGGAGTTTCTCAAGGAACAGGTGGAGTCCATTAAACAGATCTCTGACTATATAACCACTCTGAAACGAGTGGGCCCTGGACTTGGGGAGTACATGTTCGACAAGGAAACTCTGGATGCCTGACCTGACGTAAAACAAATCTGTTGCATCACATACTCAGACCTCAAAGTTTTATGTTGAAATCCGCCAAGTTTCTCATTATTTCACAAAGCGAAAGTATTTTCAAAGTTGCTGTAGATGAATTGGTACTAAAATTAGGTTGATTGTGACACAAGATCTTGACCATGTTGACTTCTTTGTGTTAGTAAATTTTGTAGTTCAATTGTATTTGTGTATTCTCTTGTGAATGTGTAATGTTCTGCTATCAGAAGAGGTTGAATGAGTGACAGCAATCAGAACTATTGTATACCTTCTTGTTCAAATTATTTTCATGTCATGTTGAGAATTTATAATCATGACAAAACATTGACAGTATTTTATATTTTCAAGTGCATTGTTTTTGGGGAGGTATTCATCATTTTGATAATATATTTCAAACATGTTGCATAACTTAATAAAAAAAAATGTTGCACAGAAATGTTGCACTTCTGAAATAAAGAAGTCAACATCTATTTGAATGCCAGTTTCCATTACATATACAACCCAGGTACATTTCCTAGCCATCTGACATTGTATTTCAACTCCAAGGACTCCCCCTTCATGAATGACCAAATCTTCAACATGTCTTCGACAGATGTGATATCAAATTAAGGGAGAATCAAAATGTATGTTGCACATCAATAAAACTTGCATTGTCATATACTGTATTCGACATAATAAGCGCCCAGGGAGCTCTCAAAATTAGAAATAGGGGTCTCTCATTAGAACTTTATTTTGGTAAAAAACAACAGAGTTGAAAGATCGTAAATCTTGTGGTTTATGCTGATAGCCTGAAATGTTCATATAAGACATATATATTTTTCCAGAATTTCATTGCCCATAATTAAGGGTGCATATAACACACAAATAAATAAGTCTTGTGTACATTGATCAATCGGAAGGGTTGGTATTTTTTGGTAGCCGATATATTAGCAAATATTGCCGGGGGCGCTTATTACGTCGAATAGTTATATTAATGTAAACATACAGCTTTTCTACAGCTGTGTTGACTTGAGGGTCCTAATCATGCATTTACTTTAAGCGACAGGTCGCCTACTGCAGGGATTATATCCATGTGTCTGCTAGTTGTGACATCTATACAATGTCACTGTATTTAATAGTGTTCTACATTACTTGTTTATGAGGAGGGTGGTGACTCAATTTTGTCATAGATGTTGTTACAAGAATAAATGTATCAAACGCAAGTGAACTCAGTTTACTGTTGTTTCTCTCTTTGAAACTAGTGCTTGTTCAATATTTCATAGACTTGCCCAATTCTTATTGGTCAATTGTTTGTCACATTAAGCACTGTGTTACACTTCTGTGTCCCCAAGCTCCCTTGTCTAGCCAACTTCCATACATGAATCCTTCTAAGGTGAGCTGCCTCAGTGGCCTAGTCAACAGACCATCTACCTGGAGAGTGGATTGTCTGTGTTTGATCCCTGGCTGCGTGATACCAAAAGATGTTATAGATGGTACTTGTTACCCTGCCTGGCATTCGGCATTAAGGTGATGAAACAAGGGCTAGTCCGCTGTGAGTAAGTATATTGTGGGTGGGGTACCGGTAATAATGTTAAACTGTGGTCTCAGTGGCACTATTAAAACAATAGCATTAGTCCAGACGAGTACAACAACATCACAATACAAGTGCAATAATCTTGAATGCTATGTTAAATCTCATTTTAGTCATCCTTCACCTTCTCAAGTGTCCTCAGATCAAGGTCAGGAAAGGTCCTTGGTACTCCATGCTTGTCGTAAAAGTCAACATTTGGATCAAGTGGCTGCAGTTCCTAGACTCCAGTGTTTACAGGCTGATATGGATGGAATATTGGCATTTGTGGCTTAACACTCGCCAGAAATTCACTTGGGTGGCAAATGTGTTTTTGAATTTGTCACCATAATCCATGAGTAACTCATTGTGTTCAGTTGATCCAGATGTTAAGTGGGCTCAAATAATCCATCTCAAAATGCCTTATTTGTTGATTTAAATTTTATTCAACAAATATAGATTGTTAATACTGTCATGGCAAAAAAACATCTCATATTTGTGAGGTTTCATCTGTGACATGAAATAATAGTTTTGCTGATGGCGAATATAGCGCCTTCACACTTTTTATCATCACCTGGATGTTGACAACCCCAGAAGGTCATCTGTTTGCTGTCCGCCTGAATCAGCAGGAAATATGATCGCAACTCCATGGTGAATAGCTGTTACTACAATACTGGAAGATGAGTAGAAAGGATAAATATACTGTAAAGAAGAGGAGTAAAGTGGGGATCAGTAGTTAGCTGCTTGCATGTCATTGTGCCCTGATGGTATGGGTTGTTCACATCATCACATGCCTCATTCACTGGTTTGCAAGGTCAGACCCCATTCTTTTCAGGTCGCCCTGATACAGCTGGAATACTGCCGACTGTGGCATCGAACAACATTCACTCACTCACCCATGGAGGAATACCTCTGTACATACAGCAACTACAGACACTAACAGTACCCTGCATTGGGGATATATATATAATGCCACCATTCTTTACTACTGTTTTGATAACAACTGCTGACCACTAGTTTATAAAGATTTCCCACCCCTGTGCATTTCTCATTGACTTCTTGGAGACAAACTGGCAACTTATATTTGCCATTGGATTTTTAAAGATCTTTCAAAATCTCTGGCACTCTGATGGTTTTGTTCCACATCTGCCATTCTTTAAGTACTTGACCCTTTTGATCTAACCAGATAACTAAAATGCAATGAAAAATGTGAGTGCTAGCAAGCAAGCCCTAGGTATGGTTAACACAGTGGCAAACAACAACACCTGTAAAATTAAAGTTGTAAAGTTCTAAAAAAAGTACAAGTACAAAAACATACAGTTAGCAAAAAGAAGGTATACTGGAAGCTACTCATCACTCCTAAACTACATTTCACAGATAAAATACCTCGTAAAGACAAGACTCGGTCATACTCATGTCCCTGTTTGCTGGTGGTGATGTGTGTCATCGTCTGCTATTTGAATAAACCCACATGATCTCACAGCCTTTCCCTAGAATCTGATGGACAATTAATTCCACCATCCTTCCTTAGTCTGGCTGTAACTTTCCTTCCGGCCTATCTTATCTCAATTCTATTATAATGAGTACCCTGGACCTATTCGCCATCATAGTTTTCCTGTGAGCCTAGTTCGCATGACACTATGCTAAAAATAACCATCCAATCATATTACACAATTTTTCATGATAAAACCTACTATCCTACAGTCCGCTGTCAGTGTTGTACCCATTTACTTGATTTGTGACCAGTGCAGTCAAGTTGTAGGGATGTTTTTTCTTCAAATAGTCTTTCAGTACATAGATAGAAAAAGCTGAACAATAAATATCCTGATCGCCAGGATTATTTTTGATGGTGTTGCCGCCAGGCCTTCTGTATAACTTCTGCTGCCTGTCTTGCTTTCCTGATTTTCGCAATACGGTGTCTCTCCGTCTCTGCCTTGCTCATGTAGGCCGACTCCCTCTCTGTGTCCGGTAGAGCCTTGATCTTCTGGCGACTGCTGGACACGTTTTGTACGGGGGAAGACTGGAACTGCTCCAGACGACTTGTAAAGCGGTCGCTGGAGTTTGACTTGGAAGACGACTTAGCTGTTGGGAGGAATATGAACGTTATGGACAACTTTTTAATTTATCGGACACGAACCAGTGTTAAACATAAATTACACACGAACCTGCTAGATCAGGGTTACCTATGTGGTAATGGAAACATGGCCATCACGAAATCAACTTGGCCTCGATTCAGCAAATCAGCTATTGTTAATTTATCGTTCAGGACCCCTGGTTTGTCTCTCATTTATGATTGTTTGTCTGTTAACAATCATCTTGCATTTTCAAACAGGCATGAATGAATGAATCACAATTTTACCTAAAGTTTTTCTTATCAAAATCAATTTATTAAGTTATGACCTCCTAACAATCTTATACCAACAACATAGAAACTTAGAAACAGAATATGAGATCCAGTTACCATGGTTACCTGTGGTTCTGGTGTCAGGGGAGCTACAAATGTCCTCCAGGAACATGGCAAGTTTGGCCCCCACAGATGATCCCTGAAGTAGAAAATACAACTGTGACTCCACAGGGTATGGGTCATCTTTGGTAAGCCAGCATGTTATGTCTCCCTTCTATTTTGATAATTACCCTGGATCCATTTGCCATCATAGCTTCGTTTTGGGAGTGACTTTACCACCTCATTTGCTCCTGTCCTTTGCCTGACTAGCCTCAGACATTCTCATGCTCATGAGAGTAATTGGAGTGGACAGCAAGTCCTAGCATTATCCCAATCAAATCATATGACATCGTGGCAAGTGAGCAAAAGTCCTTATCACATTTTTGTAGCTGGTTTAATGTAAAAAAATATATTGACTGTTTTGTTTGGGCTAACTCTGTTTTACAATTAGGTGAACTGAAAAACCCCACACGATTTTATCACTGTTCGTAAGAAATGGTGATTATATGTTAATTGAATAAAAATCTTTCTTCTGACCAAAAATAAATCCTGTCTGGCTCAGAAAAATAGGTCAGAAATACACCATCACCAACCTTAGCCTCAGGACCCCAAGCCATGAGCATCTTTGTTGCATCGTCAGTGTTGCTGGTATGAACATGACCATGTTTGTTGGACGTCTGCTTGCGACTCGGGCTACCATGTTTTCGTTTACCTGACCGTGCGAACTGGTTGTAATACTCTTCCGAGTAGCGAACCGTCTCTTCCTTATCCAACATGGAAGACAATGCAGTCTCAAAGGTCTTGGAGGACAACTCCATCCTCCTTGCATCAAACTTATCCCCATTTGCCATGCCGTGCACGTACTCACTGGGCATGTAGGTCGCAAATGGTTCGTCATGTGTCTGGCAAGACTGTTCACTAGGAATGTTATTCCCTGGAAGATCATTGGATTCAAACACGGATTTCAAGTCTGGGTTAAAGGCTTGTGAAAGACTGTTTAATGAAAGCCCATCAGGTGGGGATTGTCCTATAGACATGGTATCGGCAGTAGCTGGTCGAGTTTCCGCGGTGGATGGCCTTGTGGAATATGCTGAGTCCCACCGTGAAGCCACACCTGTCGATGTCTTCCTCTGGGTGTAGAAGCTACCATCAGGAACAGTCACAGACTGAATGCTCTTCCCTGACACTGGTCTCGAGATTCTATTGTTTAGCATGGAATGAACCTGATTGTCTTTATCGCTATTCTTCTCCGCGTTACCTCCATTGTTCCGTGATCCTTTCTTTTCAAGGTTATCACCTCTTTCATGACATTCCTCAGTTAGACGGGTTCCATTAAAAGTACTGGAGACCTGAGTCTTCATTTCATGAAATGTTCTTCTGCTATTCTGCTCATCGTGATTCAGGTCGGTGTCCGTTTGCTCCTTGTTGTCATGTGACTGGCGGATCATCTGCTTCAGCTCCTTGAGTTTCTGTCTGGTGGCAGCTTCCCGCACCTCGAGCTGGCGACTCACTGTCAGAATCTTCTCTCGTTCGATCTCGGTTTGAGCCTGTCAAGTAAAATACACATGTTAAGGTGAGTGTGTGAGTGAGTGAGTGAGTGAGTGAGTGAGTGAATGAGTGAGTGAGTGAGTGAGTGGTTGAGTCAGTGAGTCAGTGAGTCAGTCAGTCAGTCAGTCAGTCAGTCAGTCATATTACAGCTGTGTTGTTTAACTCTGCACTCAGCAATATTCAAGCTAAAAGACTGTGGCCTGTAGATAATCGAGTTTGGACAGACAAACCAGTGATCAATATTGTGAGCAACAATCCATGCCATTGGGGTACGATGATACACCATCAACCAAGTCACCGAGTCTGACCACCTGATCCATTTGCTCGTCTCTTACGACCAGCATTGGTTGCTGGGGACATATAGCCAGGAATCCCAACTGGGATCTAACAAAGCAGCCTGTAATCCAGTGATGGAAAATATGAGCAATGATTATGCAGAGTTGCAGAACTGAACCAAATTATTCAATTTAGTCAAATGTGGAACAGACGATTTTATGTGACATCGTACAAAAAATGAGCTGAGCTGATTTCTCTATTTGTGATACATAAACCCTAATTTTCATCATTTTCAGTTAAAAACACTATTGGCGGGGATTTATCTAGATCTGCCCAGAGGCAATTATTATGCCCCAAGTTTGAAGCAAATGTCAGTAAAAATTTCCAAATTAGAGATTTGCCAATACATGTTATTATAGTAAACAAATCTCATTGCTTTGTAGTCGTGACCACCCTATTTTACTGATAACAGCATTGAATGAAATATTAAATTCCCCTGAATTTCTGAAAATAAGGACTTTAAGAAAAAAACAATTTTGAACAAAGTTATGTTTTTTCCCCAATTTGTCTGCCAAGGACACTTAGTTCTGAATACTAGATAAATGCCTGATTGGCTACATATAGAAGACAAACAACTTAAATTACAATTATCTCTCCAAAAGAATTAGTGCTGAAACTCCCATGCCAAGGACTCAGGACTAGAATGAACTCTCTGGAAACATATATTATGTCATTCCTGGATGGAGTGTTTGCTAGATGGAGAACTCAACCGATGATAACCATGTGTGTTTGATTCCAGCTGTAACACTGGATTTGTTTGTGTGTCTGTCAGCTATAACACTGGATTTGTTTGTGTGTCTGTCAGCTGTAACACTGGATTTGTTTGTGGGTCTGGCAGCTGGAACACTGGATTTGTTTGTTGGTCTGCCAGTTGAAACACTGGATTTGTTTGGATTTATTTGGATATGATGCATACAACACAGAACTCAGCCACCTTAAGATATTGGGGTTTTCATTTATCCGGCTAAATCTTATCCTACAGAACAACATGTAGACTAACAAGAGTCCACTGTAGCCACTAAATATAGCTCAGAAATAGAAGCCTCATTGTTATCTTTAACAATAGCTAAGCTGTTATAGCTATTAATATTATGAATTTATTAGACACAACTTTCCCTGGTCCAATGACACAGTTTTGCTTTTTTGACATGTACAATTTTTGAAGATATTAATCTATACACATGACTGAAAAACTAAATGTATATAAATGCCTGGCACTCCTTGGAGGAAAAGGGTCTGGAGTTATGAGAGCTCATATTTCATTACGTTTAATCCCGGATTGGATCTTCTCCAAAAGAAACACTGGCGTTAGGAAACCCGTAAGATCATTACATTTTAATACCTTTTGGGAATGGAAAGGATTTATAAGCAAAACTGGTAGTTATGACACTGTTGTGTGCAGAAAGAGAATTCATTTTCCAATTTTTTATATTTACTTCCTTTATTTATGTTTTCCAGCCTTTTTCACAAATAGCCTCCTTCACTACTGCTTTCCAAAGCCAATAACAAATAATAATAATAATTGTGTTACCTTCTGTCTCTTCTTCTCCTCCTGCTTGAGCATGTTGAACACCTGCCGGGTGTTGAGGGAGCCATCACGCTTCTTGTACTGGCCAAACTTCTCCTCAATGCCCACTTTGGAAGGAGTTCTCGGCAACTCCGGGGATTCCACATCTTTTCTTAGGATGTGGGCCTTCCTCTGTTCTATACCTTCAATCTTCTTCTCAAATTTTGCCTAATATCAATAAAACATAATTTCAGTTACAGGAAAGAAAATACATATGACCTTACTGTGTAGTCAAAGGGGAGATAACTCTCTCAATAATGAAGCACGTGTCGACACAACACAACCTGTATAACTGTTCTGTTGGCTTTTGTCTTCAAAGAGTATGTACATGTACATACATTCTGTTTAGCACAGAATAAACAATGTTTACTATCAGTTATGCTAAAGGAAGTATATTTGGCGGGACCTGGTGATATTGGTTTACACTGAAATCATGCAGTATCACTACTCTCTTGCTGCCCCAGTCAATGGAATAGGCTAAGTGGACCCCAGTGCCACAATGTACTGTTTGAGACACTTCATTATGACATACATTGTTTTTGAATCCTGAATCCCAACTGTCTCTCCCTGCGCCCCAACTGTCTCTCCCTCCACCCTAACTGTCTCTCCCTGCACCCCAACTGTCTCTCCCTCCACCCCAACTGTCTCTCCCTCCACCCTAACTGTCTCTCCCTCCACCCTAACTGTCTCTCCCTGCACCCCACCTGTCTCTCCCTACACCCCAACTGTCTCTCCCTCCAACCTAACTGTCTCTCCCTCCACCCTAACTGTCTCTCCCTGCACCCCAACTGTCTCTCCCTCCACCCTAACTGTCTCTCCCTCCACCCTAACTGTCTCTCCCTGCACCCCAACTGTCTCTCCCTCCACCCTAACTCTCTCTCCCTGCATCCCAACTGTCTCCCCTTGCACCCCAACTGTCTCTCCCTCCACCCCAACTGTCTCTCCCAGCACCCCAACTGTCTCTCCCTCCACCCTAACTGTCTCTCCCTGCATCCCAACTGTCTCTCCCTCCACCCCAACTGTCTCTCCCTGCACCCTAACTGTCTCTCCCTGCACCCTAACTGTCTCTCCCTACACCCCACCTGTCTCTCCCTACACCCCAACTGTCTCTCCCTCCACCCCAACTGTCTCTCCCTGCACCCAACTGTCTCTCCCTGCACCCCAACTGTCTCCCCCTGCACCCCAACTGTCTCTCCCTGCACCCCACCTGTCTCTCCCTGCACCCCACCTGTCTACACCTACACCTGTCTCTCCCTGCACCCCACCTGTCTACACCTACACCTGTCTCTCCCTGCACCCTAACTGTCTCTTCCTCCACCTCACCTGTCTCTCCCTGCAACCCAACTGTCTCTCCCTCCGCCCCAACTGTCTCTCCCTGCACCCTAACTGTCTCTCCCTGCACCCCACCTGTCTACACCTACAACTGTCTCTCCCTGCACCCCACCTGTCTACACCTACACCTGTCTCTCCCTGCACCCTAACTGTCTCTTCCTCCACCCCACCTGTCTCTCCCTGCAACCCAACTGTCTCTCCCTCCACCCCAACTGTCTCTCCCTGCACCCCAACTGTCTTTCCCTGCACCCTACCTGTCTCTCCCTGCACCCCACCTGTCTACACCTACACCTGTCTCTCCCTGCACCCCAACTGTCTCTCCCTACATCCCAACTGTCTCTCCCTCCACCCTAACTGTCTCTCCCTGCACCCTAACTGTCTCCCCCTGCACCCCAACTGTCTCTCCCTACACCCCAACTGTCTCTCCCTCCACCCTAACTGTCTCTCCCTGCACCCTAACTGTCTCCCCCTGCACCCCAACTGTCTCTCCCTACATCCCAACTGTCTCTCCCTCCACCCTAACTGTCTCTCCCTGCACCCTAACTGTCTCCCCCTGCACCCCAACTGTCTCTCCCTGCACCCCACCTGTCTCTCCCTCCACCCCACCTGTCTCTCCCTTCACCTCACCTGTCTCTCCCTCCACCCCACCTGTCTCTCCCTCCACCCCACCTGTATCTCCCTTCACCTCACCTGTCTGTCCCTCCCTCCACCCCCCCTCCCTCCACCCCACCTGTATCTCCCTTCACCTCACCTGTCTCTCCCTCCCTCCACCCCACCTGTCTCTCCCTTCACCTCACCTGTCTCTTCCTCCACCCCACCTGTCTCTCCCTCCACCCCAACTGTCTCTCCCTTCACCTCACCTGTCTCTTCCTCCACCCCACCTGTCTCTCCCTTCACCTCACCTGTATCTCCCTCCACCCCACCTGTATCTCCCTTCACCTCACCTGTCTCTCCCTCCACCCCACCTGTATCTCCCTTCACCTCACCTGTCTCTCCCTCCCTCCACCCCACCTGTCTCTCCCTTCACCTCACCTGTCTCTTCCTCCACCCCACCTGTCTCTCCCTCCACCCCAACTGTCTCTCCCTTCACCTCACCTGTCTCTTCCTCCACCCCACCTGTCTCTCCCTCCACCCCACCTGTCTCTCCCTCCACCTCACCTGTCTCTCCCTCCACCCCACCTGTCTCTCCCTTCACCTCACCTGTCTCTCCCTCCACCCCACCTGTCTCTCCCTCCACCCCACCTGTCTCTCCCTCCACCCCACCTGTATCTCCCTCCACCCCACCTGTCTCTCCCTCCACCCCACCTGTCTCTCCCTTCACCCCACCTGTCTCTCCCTCCACCCCACCTGTCTCTCCCTTCACCTCACCTGTCTCTCCCTCCACCCCACCTGTCTCTCCCTTCACCCCACCTGTCTCTCCCTCGACCCCACTCGTCTCTCCCTCCACCCCACCCGTCTCTCCCTCCACCCCACCTGTCTCTCCCTTCACCTCACCTGTCTCTCCCTCCACCCCACCCGTCTCTCCCTCCATCCCACCTGTCTCTCCTTCCACCTCACCTGTCTCTCCCTCCACCCCACCTGTCTCTCCCTCCACCCCACCTGTCTCTCCCTTCACCTCACCTGTCTCTCCCTCCACCCCACCTGTCTCTCCCTCCACCCCACCTGTCTCTTCCTCCACCTCACCTGTCTCTCCCTCCACCCCACCTGTCTCTCCCTCCACCCCACCTGTCTCTCCCTCCACCCCACCTGTCTCTCCCTCCACCCCACCTGTCTCTTCCTCCACCCCATCTGTCTCTCCCTCCACCCCACCTGTCTCTCCCTCCACCCCATCTGTCTCTCCCTTCACCCCACCTGTCTCTTCCTCCACCTCACCTGTCTCTCCCTCCACCTCACCTGTCTCTCCCTCCACCCCACCTGTCTCTCCCTCCACCTCACCTGTCTCTCCCTCCACCCCACCTGTCTCTCCCTTCACCTCACCTGTCTCTCCCTCCACCTCACCTGTCTCTCCCTCCACCCCACCTGTCTCTCCCTCCACCCCACCTGTATCTCCCTCCACCCCACCTGTCTCTCCCTCCACCTCACCTGTCTCTCCCTCCACCCCACCTGTCTCTCCCTCCACCTCACCTGTCTCTTCCTCCACCCCACCTGTCTCTCCCTCCACCTCACCTGTCTCTTCCTCCACCCCACCTGTCTCTCCCTCCACCTCACCTGTCTCTCCCTCCACCCCACCTGTCTCTCCCTCCACCTCACCTGTCTCTCCCTCCACCTCACCTGTCTCTCCCTCCACCCCACCTGTCTTTCCCTTCACCTCACCTGTCTCTCCCTCCACCTCACCTGTCTCTCCCTCCACCCCACCTGTCTCTCCCTCCACCTCACCTGTCTCTCCCTCCACCTCACCTGTCTCTCCCTCCACCTCACCTGTCTCTCCCTCCACCCCACCTGTCTTTCCCTTCACCTCACCTGTCTCTCCCTCCACCTCACCTGTCTCTTCCTCCACCCCACCTGTCTCTCCCTCCACCTCACCTGTCTCTCCCTCCACCCCACCTGTCTCTCCCTCCACCTCACCTGTCTCTCCCTCCACCCCACCTGTCTCTCCCTCCACCCCACCTGTCTCTTCCTCCACCTCACCTGTCTCTCCCTCCACCCCACCTGTCTCTCCCTCCACCCCATCTGTCTCTCCCTTCACCCCACCTGTCTCTTCCTCCACCTCACCTGTCTTTTCCTTCACCTCACCTGTCTCTCCCTCCACCCCACCTGTCTCTCCCTCCACCCCACCTGTCTCTCCCTCCACCTCACCTGTCTCTCCCTCCACCTCACCTGTCTCTCCCTCCACCTCACCTGTCTCTCCCTCCACCCCACCTGTCTTTCCCTTCACCTCACCTGTCTCTCCCTCCACCTCACCTGTCTCTCTCTCCACCCCACCTGTCTCTCCCTCCACCCCACCTGTCTCTCTCTACACCCATCCTGCCTCTCCCTCCACCCCACCTGTCTCTCCCTCCACCCAACCTGTCTCTCCCTCCACCTCACCTGTCTCTCCCTCCACCCCACCTGTCTCTCCCTCCACCTCACCTGTCTTTTCCTGAGCTGTCTCTCCACCAGCTTCTCCTGCTCCACCAGTCCCGGGTCAGCCTCCGTGTCCCGCAGCTGAATGATGTAGGCCTGCTGGTGGCTGATCTGGTCCTTGGTGACATCAACCTTGGCCCTGAAGGACAACACTCCGTGTAAGTAGAGGCAACTGACATCACTGAAGTAAAAGTATGAGCAACTCACTTCAGTGAAAATCCCTGATTGATTGAAGCCCTCATAAAATCTCAAACCATGTCAAAAGTCTGGGCTGAGTCACTAATGCACAATAGCCAATGTCTGTCAATGTCTGACCACAGAGTGACTGTATCCCAATCGACATTCTTGAGTAGGTTCTGTTTATAGATTTACACAAAAAATATTAAAACTAAAATATTTTCAGGAAGCCTAATTTTAACTGAACTAAGATGAATGATTGACATGAATGCAGATCTACTTCAGCCCTGAATCCAGGACTGACTGACTGAGAAAAAACCTGAGTGTTTGACAACAGATCAACTGAGGTGATGAATCTATGTCTCACTTGAGCCCCGACTCCATGACCTCGAGTTCCTGCAGCTCCACGTTGTGCTGGAGGTCATTCAGCTCGTTCTCCTTGCTCTCGTAACTCGACTGCAGCTTGTTGATCCGGCGACTGAGGCGGTGGATCTCACGTTCACGCTTCCGCTCGTATGGTGACGTATACTTCGAGTTGTTGCTGGTGATGGAGTCTGCTGTGACTGGTCGGTGAGGGGAGGTCCCGATCGAAGCTTTCTTCACTGAAGGTCAAGGTCAGTTTAGGCGTGATTATGTGGAACAGACTAAGGTGAATATGTTTTTACTGTAGCATCGTAACGTTATTGACACCAAACTGCTGATCTTGTTGAACATATATTTTACATTAATCAAACCTGTTACTATTTCAATGGCGTTATCTTTTAGTAGTGCCTCCCTTTTAGCGTTAGTGAATAAATTGGGCAAAAACTGCATTGAGAGGTTGGTTGGTTTGTTGTTTAATGCCGCACTCAGCAATATTCCAGCTATATAACGGTGGTCTGTAAATAATCAAGTCTGGAACAGACAGTGATTAATATCATGCGCATCGATCCACGTAATTGGGATCGATGACATGCATCAACCAAGTCAACAAGCCTGACCACCCGATCCTGTTAGTCGCCTCTTACGACAAGCATAGTCGCCTTAGTAATACATTGTGGTGTACTAGATATACCTCGGTCATTAAAATCTGGAGTACGTGGCATCAGACTCTCACCCCACGCTTGGCCTGGCTTCATTGGAGGACTGTAGAGAGAAGAGAATGAACAGGAGGTGGGACCTCTCAGAGGGCTCTGCAGTTCACCTGACAGCTGTTGCCTAAAGTCTAGACAAACGCTTACGCTTAAATATATCTGTTTAATATATACTACTCAAAAGAATTACCTTAGTTAATCCGCCATGGCTGGTGGGTCTAGGAACACACAGCCTTCCAATTGTGGGTGCTCTTTAACTTATTTTGAGTAGTTTATTATTATCAAAGAAAGCAATGAAATATTGGATGCTTATAGTTCAGGTGGATGATTCTAAGTTTAGTTGTAATACCCAATGTAATTTGTTATCCAAAATACATGTAGTACCATAGTACAATTATCGTGCTTATAAAATATTAGCTCTTGACTGAACCACAGGCTATATACCTGGAAATGACTGCATTAGTATTAGCATCATCCGTATTGTCGTATGTGATGTTGCCAGTGTCGGTGCTGTCATGGTCGATGCGTAGAATCTGCACTGAGTTGTCATCTGTCCTTCCGTTGAAGTTCCTCGGACCCTTTCCTGGACTGCTTCTTGATCCAGAACTGGAATCGGATTTGAAGTAGCCGCTTAGCACCATCTTCTTCAGCAGACGTAGACATTCCCGGAACTTGTAGGGATCGGTAATGCCTGGAATGTAGATGACGCTGATGATTTCCCATGATTCCAATGAAATCTGATTTTACAAACCAAATTCATGAACAACAAGACAAGCGAGAAAATAATTTCTGAGTGTGGGTGGGGGTCACCATAACCTTGGGGTGTGTCAACTGATCAAATTATCAATGCATAGCTAAGTGTTACCTCCATTTTTAGTAATAATACTGGGTGATTAATTTTTTAACCTCCCTCACAATTTCCCAAGAAAAATATGAAACAGAAAATGGCGGATGAGTTGGAGGTGTCGGAAAACTGCAGTGTTGGAAAGTAAAGCTTCTCCACATACCATCACAATGCTACTGTATGTCCCAGCGTGTGACCTTCCTACATGCACTACATTGCATGTGACTGCTGTGACAGAGTCAGTGAGACGGCCCCCGAGATATTCATGCACTACATTGAGTGTGACTGCTGTGACAGGGTCAGTGAGACGGCCCCCGAGATATTCATGCACTACATTGCGTGTGACCTATCTGCTGTGACAGGGTCAGTGAGATGGCCCCGAGATATTCATGCACTACATTGCATGTGACTGCTGTGACATGGTCAGTGAGACGGCCCCGAGATATTCATGCACTACATTGCATGTGACTGCTGTGACATGGTCAGTGAGACGGCCCCGAGATATTCATGCACTACATTGCATGTGACTGCTGTGACAGAGTCAGTGAGACGGCCCCCGAGATATTCATGCACTACATTGCGTGTGACCTATCTGCTGTGACAGGGTCAGTGAGACGGCCCCGAGATATTCATGCACTACATTGCATGTGACTGCTGTGACATGGTCAGTGAGACGGCCCCGAGATATTCATGCACTACATTGTGTGTGACCTACCTGCTGTGACAGGGTCAGTGAGACGGCCCCCGAGATATTCATGCACTACATTGTGTGTGACCTACCTGCTGTGACAGGGTCAGTGAGACGGCCCCCGAGATATTCATGCACTACATTGTGTGTGACCTACCTGCTGTGACAGGGTCAGTGAGACGGCCCCCGAGATATTCATGCACTACACTGTGTGACCTACCTGCTGTGACAGGGTCAGTGAGACGGCCCCCGAGATATTCATGCACTACATTGTGTGTGACCTACCTGCTGTGACAGGGTCAGTGAGACGGCCCCCGAGATATTCATGCACTACATTGTGTGTGACCTACCTGCTGTGACAGGGTCAGTGAGACGGCCCCCGAGATATTCATGCACTACACTGTGTGTGACCTACCTGCTGTGACAGGGTCAGTGAGACGGCCCCCGAGATATTCATGCACTACATTGCATGTGACTGCTGTGACAGGGTCAGTGAGGCGGCCCCTAGATATTCATGCACTACACTGTGTGTGACCTACCTGCTGTGACAGGGTCAGTGAGACGGCCCCCGAGATATTCATGCACTACATTGTGTGTGACCTACCTGCTGTGACAGGGTCAGTGAGGCGGCCCCTAGATATTCATGCACTACACTGTGTGTGACCTACCTGCTGTGACAGGGTCAGTGAGACGGCCCCCGAGATATTCATGCACTACCCGTGCACAGTGTATTTTATCCTCATCAGTCAGCTTGCTGCTCATCATTTCATCTGTACACTCAGTCTCCTGACACAGAACAACCAATAAGTCATCAACAAATTTCTAAGCCTTTATGATATATTCTAAATATGATTCCATTTATTGACAATTCACCCACCCAACGGAAAATGCAAACTATGATTAATTTCATATTAAAAATTATACAATATTTATAAGTATCTACATCCTGCGTTCGAACCTTGTTCAATCTCATAAAGGCAATCTCCGCCTCCAGTTCTGCTACTCTCTTCTTCAGCCTCTTGATCAGAGTTCGATCATCAATTTCCTCATTACGCCTGCAAGCAAAACGTCAATACACCATAAAGCATAAAAGTCAATGCAACCTGCTTAAATACATGCACAAAATATATAATGCTTAAAAAAAAGAAAAGAATTGGTTCTAAGGCAATGTTTTTTTGAAAATATAGTGTGGATTGGAGGTGTTTTTGTTTTTTTGTTACTTGTTCAAACTAGTATGTAGCCAAATAAACAGTTGTGTCAAATCAACCTGGGATATGGCCTCCCGACATAATGAATTCTTTGATGAGTACAGTATTTGTGCATAATACACGCATACAATGAGCCTTGATTTGATATCAAATTGTGTGAACTGCTGATTGTTTTTTTCTGGCTTATTTTACAAATACACATGTAGCTAATAATCTTAATCTCTCCATAGGAAGCATTGTCTGCTATACAGTACATAAATAGTGCCGCCATGACAATAACCTGAGATACACAGTAAGGCAGTGTGCACGTAAAGGGAAGTTACTGCACGCTATATTGGATCGCGTTAGTTTTAGTATTGCAGCATTTCACTGCCGGGGTCATGTTTTCAAGACGAGAATATTTACTGATTCACTGGTATACATATTTAAAAAAAAATTGAAATAAAAATGAAACATGAGTCAGACTTTATGATGATGCATGCGGTGCCTGAGAACAAGAATATTATTTTTTTAGCCTAAACAGCGTCCCAAAGGTCACAGAAAACATTCAACATTCTACATGAAATTTAAGAAAAAACATTATCAGTGACTTGAAGTCTGAGCCTCCTAATCAAAACTATTAACGTGTAAGGATTATTACTTATTATTGTTTGTTTAATGCACTATTCCAGCTAAATGACAGCAGTCTGTCAATAACTGAGTTTGAATCAGACAATCCAGTGATTGATCCCATGAGCATCAACCTACGCAATTGGGATACGATGACATGCAATCAACCAAGAGACCAAGCCTGACCAGCAGTTCCATTGGGTCATTTCTTAAGACAAGCACAGGTTGTTGGGGACCAATCTTCTAAACTGGTGTTCCAACTGGTTAGAAAGTATTAAATGCGTACCTAGAAATTTAAACTTTGACATTGTTTGGTATGGCCGGATCTCATTAGAACCTTCACTATGTTGAAAAAGAACAAATATAACGAATTCATGTAAAACCCTGCAGACATACCACCCTCAGCTGCAGTTACCATAACAGCTTCAATAGATGTCACTACTTGGGTCTATGGATCATCTCATTAGAAAAGTCGGCCAATGTGTACTGTAGGATTTACAGTGCTGTTCTACATCTTATTGACTACAGATGATATTCACCATATCTTCATACCAATCTCTTCCTAAAACACTTTCCACCAAAACATACACTTTAAATATGTTGAAAGTGAACTTTGAATAAGGATTCCAGGTTGAAAACAAAAACTGGTTGTGGCTTTGTGAGGGACGCCATCTTGTTTTGGAAAACTAATAGTTTTTCATGTTCGAGCTGGAATCCTTACTCAAAGTTCATAAATAAGGAAACTGGAATGACTCTCACTCAGCAATATTCCAGCCATATGACGGCATCTGTAACTAATCCAGTGTGGACCAGACAATCCAGTGATCATAAGCATCGATCCATGCAATTGGGATACGATGACATGCATCAACCAAGTCAGCGAGCCTGACCACCCGATCCCGTAAATCGCCTTTTATGACAAGCATAGTTGCTCTTTACAGCAAGCATCATCTTCCTGAGGCAAGAGAGTTAACTGACTATAAATCTTGCAGAGTTTTTTTGCCAGGTTTCAAGTTCATGGGAGGTAACTCTCTCCCAAACTCCTAACACAAGACATTGATCTTTGAAGTTCACATTGGTGGGTTGATGGCATCACAGGTCGACCTAACATGGCGGCCTCCAGGTAATTGGAAAATGTGAAGTTTCTCACTGAATATGTCTTATAATTGTTTACATGAGAATGTGCAAGGTGTCGCAATCATGATCTTAGTGTTGTTACTTTTCGTACAATTAATGTTAATTTTCAGTGGAATATCCCTTAAAGAACTACTTTCTTTCTGTGCATCTACTCACATAGCATGATTGGCGATACAGGCCACCCGCTGGGCAAAGCGGCAGGTGGATAGAGATTCTCCAATATTCTGAACCTCCAGGGAGATGGTGGCAATCATGGCAGTCTGACAGTTACCTCCTGTAATACAGTGCCAAAACATAAAACATCTCGAAATCACATCAGCAATAGTCCAGCTGGAAAGTGAAAAATAATGCACTACATATGTGTTAAAGCACGAAACGAGCCCATGCCGCGTTGTTTACTTTGAAATATGGGACCACCAAATCAAATGGTTGCCAAATGGCAACAGGACTATGTGTATGTAGAAATAGGCTCATAAACTCTGTCATTTTGAGTGAATGACCTGCCAGACTGTCCCGGAGGACCACAGTAAACGACCTACCCAGACTGTCCCAGAGGACATGCTAAACAACCTACCCATACTGTCCCGGAGGACATGGTAAACGACCTACCCAGACTGTCCCGGAAGACGACAGTTAACGACCTCCCGGGACTGTCCCGGGGACCACAGTAAGCGACCTACTGAGACTGTCCTGAGGACCACAGTAAACGACCTACTGAGACTTTTCGGAGGACCACAGTAAACGACCTACTGAGATTGTCCCGAGGACTACAGTAAACGACCTACTGAGATTGTCCCGGAGGACCACAGTAAACGACCTACCGGGACTGTCCCGGGGACCACAGTAAGCGACCTACTGAGACTGTCCTGAGGACCACAGTAAACGACCTACTGAGACTTTTCGGAGGACCACAGTAAACGACCTACTGAGATTGTCCCGAGGACTACAGTAAAGGACCTACTGAGATTGTCCCGGAGGACCACAGTAAACGACATACTGAGATTGTTCCGAGGACCACATTAAACGACCTACTGAGACTGTCCCAAGGACCACAGGAAACGTCCACTGAGACTGTCCCGGAGGACCACAGTAAACAATCTACGGAGACTGTCCCTGAGGACCACAGTAAACGACCTACCCAGACTGTCCCGGAGGACATGGTAAACGACCTACCCAGTTTGTCCGAGAGGACCACAGTAAACGACCTACCCAGACTGTCCAGGAGGACATGGTAAATGACCTACCCTTACTGTCCTGGAGGACATGGTAAACGACCTACCCAGACTGTCCCGGAGGACATGGTAAACGACCTACCCAGACTGTCCCGGAGGACATGCTAAACGACCTACCCACACTGTCCTGGAGGACATGGTAAACGACCTATCGAGTCTGTCCCGGAGGACCACAGTAAATGACCTACCCAGACTCTCCCAGAGGACATGGTAAACGACCTCCCCAGACTGTCCCGGAGGACCACAGTAAATGACCTACCCAGACTGTCCCGGAGGACCACAGTAAACGACCTACCCAGACTGTCCCGGACCTACCCAGACTGTGCCAGAGGACATGGTAAATGACCTACCTAGACTGTCCCGGAGGACATGCTAAACGACCTACCCAGACTGTCCCGGAGGACATGGTAAATGACCTACCCAGACTGTCACGGAGGACATAGTAAACGACCTACCCACACTGTCCCAGAGGACATGCCAAATAACCTACCGAGGCTGTCCTGGAGGACCACAGTAAATGACCTACCCAGACGGTCCCGGAGGACATGGTAAACAACCTACCCAGACTGTCCCGGAGGACCACAGTAAATGACCTACCCAGACTGTCCCGGAGGACCATGGTAAGCAAGGAGTTCCTGTACGGGACATGTTTGGGGGAGCGAGCATCATCAGCAGTGTATGGCCGACTCAGCTGAGAAGAGGAGTTACATCTGCAGAAAATGAGACAACAAATATCTGTAGATATGATGATAACATATATAAATGCAGTGCCAAAAACAACTACACAAGTATGTACCAAACTCTATTTACTTTGGCCTACTTGCTGTTCTGAATGTTGCATTTGACTCTTGATGTGGACGTGACAAGAAATGGCATTAACATTAAGACTGATGCAAATGAGCATGGCTGATGATAATGGTTGATAATTGAGGTACACCATGAATGATGGCTGTGTTGGACTATTATGGTTTATGATAATGGTGGATGATTATGGCGGATAGTTGTGGTACTTACTGTCTGAGTGAATGTGCCGTGCGCTGTCTGTCTATTCCGCTGTCTGCCTGGAGGGAGATAATTACAGTCTCCAAGTGATGGAGTGACAGGTTGATGGACTTGGCTTCGGTCAGCTGCTGACCGTCCACTCCCGTCTTGGCCACCCGCTCGGACCCTGCTAGGTCAACCAGGTGGAGCTTGGACCTGCACAGACAATACATAAACATGTTGAAGCAAAAGCTTCATAAAAATAGTTAATTTCTATTTCAAGTAGAAAGAACACCAATCCACACAATAACAAACAATGACTCACAATAACAAACAACACACAATTAAAAACAGTGACACAATGATAACAATGATAACAATGACACACAATGACAAACAATGACACACAATGACGAACAAGAGTCATCAGGAGATGACATATCCCCCGGTCTGCTGCAATTCAGAAGAGGTTTAGTTACTTCTACCCCACTTTTGGTTCCTTGCCACTGGATACCTTCAGTTCAGGGAAGAAAGCCATAATGCTGTAATATCCCAAATCATCCAAAGGCACCAGTTCACCAATAGACTGATCTGTAATGCAAGTTTATCAAGAAATGTTCAAAACTCTTGGAGTTAAATACTCCGGAAACAATCACTACCATCCTGTTGAGTTAAGTCCAACCTGTCGTCATGAAAACAAAAAAATAAAAAAAAAAAAAATCCCAAATCATCAAAAGGCACCAGTTCACCACTAGACTGATCTGTATAGCAAATTTCATCCAGAAATATACAACAGTTTTGGAGTTCTGCTGACGGACAAGCTGATCACTACATATCCCCGTGTTTTAAACCGGAGGGATAAAATGACACAGTGGCACACAACGTTCTACATTGACAATGACACATATTGACAAGCAATGACAGCAATGACACACAACATGCACAATAATGCACAATGACAAAGAATCAACCTCAATGACACAGTTGAGAAAATAATACATTCGAGAACAGATCATATACATACTCAGCACACAACAGTCTGTGCAACAACATTGTGTGCCTCCTAGCTGTCAAACATGTATAGTCTCCTAGTCCTTATAATGATAGCAAATTGCAAAACCCTTTGGCAAGGACTATAGGACTAATGCCAATTTCTATCACTTCTATAACTGTTATTTTATGGACTATCATTAGCTGAGCTGCACAGGACATAATGCTTCACACGACTGGCTTTGTAAAGCTGAAGACTGAGCTCCATGGCTTAGTCAGCCCTTCAACAAATGTGGGGATCTGTTCCACCCTTGAATCCCTGTGGCAGAGCATTTAAAGACAAAACTAAAGTTTTATTCACATCAGCAACAATCTCATTAAAATAAGATCTTAGTTCTCGCTGTCGCTAAACAAAGATTTGAGGACATTACCGGTCTCGTCAGAGCGACCTTTCATCCGACCAATCAAAGCGTCGCTTACCAGATCTTGAAAGTGACAGTCGGAAGGTGTTTTCTAATCATGCAACTTCGAAAACGTTGACACAGGGTATCCAATTGACAGTTACGGCCCATACGACAAATTTTGTCAAAATTATCGTCTATCTCTCGCTTCCGTGGGATAAACATTTGAATGGAGGAAGCGTTGCACAATAGGTGGAAAGCACTGCCATACGATCTCAACCATATATTAGACATTCCGGAATGTTCCTTTGTTCAGTTTTCAAAATTTAAATCGAGAACTGTATCAACATATTTTTCAAGCGTACTCTGTAATAGAAGTCGCCTGGTTGAAACAATTGCCGTAAAGCTCGAGAAAGTTGCTTTCTAATTGGCTGGTGTCGACTTCTTGTTAGTTTTTTCAGTGGTCGGTCAAAGTTTGCGAAAGGTTGATCTGACGCGACCCCTAATGGGATGTCCCGCTGTTTAGTAGCAGCAAGAACTTAGATCTGATTTAAATGAGATGGCATTAGCAAGGACACTTTTAAACAATTTAATTTGTTTACTATGACTGTTTAGGCAGACTTGATCAGTCTCTAATTAAGAGTCACAAATGGGGGAGTGCATAAAGTGTCTAAAGAATTTAAACACTCCAATCACAAGAAATCCCTCAGTTTTCACAGATTTGACACAGACTGCTTCTGCCATTCAGTCAGGATCAGGTAGTTTCATAAGTAAGTCAATTTATCAGCTATATCAAGGCATGCCATCTTAAAAGGGGAGGAAGGGTGAAATGACACAGATCACCACTTTCGTGAAACCTGTATGGTGCTTACAAACCAAGGATCCTGATATATCTAAGGGGCACAACTCTACATCATGAATGTTGGCAAGTTTAACAACCTGGACACCCTTGTCCCTTTTCTTAACAGAAGCATGAACCCTGTCACTACACATGTGGTATAACCCTGATGTATCACCCAGACAGCTGCTCTTGAGAAGGTGTGCTAGTGATCATCACTGCTGTCTGTACATATGTGTACTACCCAGCAACCCGAGCATGTTGATCCCTTGGCGACTACAGGGCATGGCTGTAATCCTACATGATCCACTCCAATACTCAGAAGCACACAAGCACCTGCATGGCCACCAGTTTATTGATAGCTGATATCGGGGCAAAATTTGATAAAGAAATATTGAACGTTCTTTGTTATGCTCCAGTAAAAAATGACACCCTCATTTGAACCTTAGTCTAATTGGCTGTTATGGATAACGAAATAACAACTACCACAAGTCCAAAATTCCTAAATAGTTAAAGACACCAGTTTATTGCTGGACTGATATCTACGGAAGCGTAGTAGGGCCACGGTGAAATTTTTTTTGGTCTAAGTATCTCCTACATATGACATATTATCTCCTACGTAGGACTTATTATCTCCCATGTAGGACTTAATATCTTCTACGTAGGACTTAGTATCTCCTACGTAGGACTTACTATCACCTCCTTACTATCTCCTTAGTATGGACTGGAATAACTATCTCCTACGTAGGATTTAGTATCTCCTACATAGGAAATAGGAAGTCCTACGTAAGAAATAGGAAGTCCTACGTAGGACATAATAAGTCCTATGTAGGACATAATAAGTCCTACGTAGGAGATACTAAGTCCTACTTCGGAGATAGTGATTCTAGGCCATACTAAGTCCTACGTAAAAGATAGCAAGTCCTATGTAGGAGATACTAAGTCCTACGAAGAAGATACTAAGTCCTACTTCGGAGATAGTGATTCTAGGCCATACTAAGTCCTACGTAAAAGATAGTAAGTCCTATGTAGGAGATAGTAAGTCCTACGAAGAAGATACTAAGTCCTACGAAGAAGATACTAAGTCCTACGTAGGAGATGATAAGTCCTCGAAGGGGATACTTAGACAACAACAACAAAATTTCACTGTGGCCCTTCCGTAGATATCTGTGCAAAGTTTGATCGAGAAATATTGTACAGTCCCTAAGTTATGCTCCATTTGAACCAATTTGTTGTCATGGAAACCAGAAACATAAAACTTTCCAAAATTCCATAGCAGCATAGGACACCAACTCATTGATAAACTGATATCTGTGCAAAGTAGGATCAATGAGTACTGAACAGTCGCTAAGACATGATCCAGAAACAAAATGTGGTGGAAGCAAAGACGATGGATGGGGACAGCACCCATTCCCTCCCATTCCCTCCCATTCATGGCTGGGGATAATTGGGGATAATGATGTAGTAATGTTTAATCTTTTCTTGTGTTAATTATGTAATGATCTTAATCATACCTCCATGGGAAACTGATAACGATGTAAGTGACTTTACTACATGCCTGTATGGCAGAGAGTGAATTTGGCACTGTAGTTAACAAGTGCATCTAGCACAATAGAATGTGCACCAAACCAGTAAATTTTTTTTAAAATGTATTCGACGTAATAAGCACCTAGGACGCTCTCAAAATAAGAAATAGGGGGCTCTTATTAAAATATTATTTTGGTGAAAAAAAACAGAGTTGAAAGATAAATTTCCAGAATTTAATTGCCCATAATTAAGGGTGCCTTTTACACATGAGTGTGTATTTTACACGAATAAATAAGTCTTGTGTACCTTGATCAATCGTAATGGGTGCTAATTTGGATTGTTCACTAGCCAGTATATTAGCAAATATCGACGTGGGCGCTTATTAGAGCGTGGGGCTTATTACGTCAAATACGGTACCTAAATAGTCTGAAAACAAACCAGCAAACTTCTATACATGATCTTATTTCGCATTCGACTGGGAATTAAATCTCATCAGTTTATTATTTGTCACTTTATTTGCATTAACACGCTTTTAAGGGACATTCTTCATACTTTTTTGGGAGCTAAGGTTTACCCCGCGGTGCATCCGGAGTAGGGGTGGGTACATCGAGGAGCGTTAAGTCGAGGAATCACTGTATTTGCTTATTACTGTAACAATGGGAGCACCCCAACATAAGACATCCCGCTCAATATATACTACTACAAGAAGTTAAGGACCACTCAATTCTTTCACAATTACTACAGTTAATCTGTCATGGCATGGTAGTCCTTCACTTATTTGAGTAGCATATGACAGACATACAGTATAACCAGGGTCTCCTATACTGACAAGACTAGAGGATAAATACATGCAATAATGTCATGTATGCTAAGCTCTGGTTGGCTGAAATATGGAAAAATACACGCTGTAAAAAATATGACCTTAAAAAGTCATATAAATAATGTTTTAACAATAAAACATGGCTAGGAGAATAGACTACAGTGTGTAGCAGAAGCTTTATTCAAATCAGATGAAACGTAGGATAATCCTTTTCAATGTCTTTGACAGATATGTCCCCAGTGGATGAATAGACATAGATAAGGGTACAACGTTTTCTCGACTCGATGAATCTCGTAGCTAACCAACCATGTTAATCCTTGGCAGACGGAAAAATAGGGGAATTAATTCTGGGCAATTACCCCTTCATGATTCTAGTCTGATATCAGATAACCTTATTAGGCATTCCTGGCTATGAAAAAACATAATACATATCTTTTATTATGATGGACTCTATATCACACAAATAAATACCCATAATGACACGTATGTCATGTTACGACATGAACTTGTACAATGCAGGATTCCATTAGAAGATTAACATTAAAAAGTGATAAAATATACCAAGTCACATGAGACTATATTCATTGTGTGAAACATGAGCTTTAATACGATGACAGTGATAAATGTCATTGTATTGTATTTGAAGCCTTCTTAATAAAAGAAATGATATAGAAAACTTTGTCAGTTATTGTTGAACAAATTTAACTGCATACAAATCAGTGTTTGAAATTTAGCATGAAAGTAATGGTGTCCTTGTCATAACCCTAATGTGCAGAGTCAAAGATTTAGGGGGTCCATAGATGATAGCAGAAGACCTAGAGGAACCCCTTGACTAAAAATACTGAAAACATTTGCAAAGCCTATCAAAACAGTGATACACAAAATTATCAGTAATTTGAAATCCCTTGAGTAGCACAAGGGGTTAAATGAGCTACGAATTGTATGCACTGTGGAAATATAATAAAGTTATACTTCAGTACACCAAGCATTCTCCATGATATATTAACTCTCTGTCTGGACATTCTTGCTTATTCACACATTCCTAAAGCTTATTCAATGCAAGTTCTTTATTTGTCCCTAAGGCAAAATTAACTGACGATGAATTTCATTTTTGCTACAAAAAGCATTAATACCTATAAACCTTGAGTGCAAGTAATTATCCTTCACAAAACACTTGCTATGTTTTTATATTTAAACACATTGGAAAAAAACAGAACATTGTACAATATTCAGCTGAATTTATGTCAAATTCTGTGTAATAAAATATAAGAACTTAATAAATATATATTTCTTTTAAATAAGCATAAGACTCAGACCCAGAATAATTAAATAATTAAACAAAACAATTTTTCTATCCAAATAACATTCTTACCGTGAAAGTAGACCCCAAAGTTTGATCAAACGATCAAACCTGTGTCATCCCTGACTGATATAGCAGTAGATAACATAATAATATAAACGAGATTAACACGGAGGCCTGGATAGGCCTTCTGATCACCTCCTAGGTATGAGCAGCAGTCAATATCAAGCATGCACGTAAATCACATCGTGTGAAGTGTTGTATATTTCACACAACTGTATTGTACTACCCTCTTGCTGTCTTAATCCTAGCATTGACAGTCGCTGTTTTCGCCATTGACAAGGGCTACCGTGTGTTCATTTCAACATTGTTAAGAAAATCCCTGTATGAATGGATCGTCCCCTCTATCAAAGTAGCTTCAAAGTTAGGGATCTTGTTGTAAATCCTGTCATTGATGTAAGTGTGTGGGTCAACTTGTTGCAGTGTGTTCTACAGAATTGCTGTAACCTTTTGGATTAGCGACATCGATGGAATCATTAACACTGACAGGTGACTATTGATATGTGAATTATACAAGGGAACCCTGTTAGCATGGTAAATATGGTTAACAAGGGAAAATGTCGGGAATAACAAATTCCGGGATGATGGATTATGGGTTTGCAGTCATGTCCATATAAGATTCACAACACAATAGTCCAGAGGGAGGGGTTTCCGGAATACAGGAGTCCTGACTAACAAGGTTGCACTGTATGTGATACTCTACCATGTTTTATAACATATAGGGGCAAGAGGTACAGCTGTCTAAGGCCCCAGCATTTGTTGGGCTGCATTCCTTCATCATGTCAGATGTGTGTGTGTGTGTGTGTGTGTGTGTGTGTGTGTGTGTGTGTGTGTGTGTGTGTGTGTGTGTGTGTGTGTGTGTGTGTGTGTGTGTGCATTCTATATGAGTGAGTGAGTATGCTTTTACGCCTCTTTTAACAATATTCCAGCAACATCACGGCAGGGGACACAAGAAATGGGTTTCACACATTGTATCCATGTGGGAAACCAAACCCGGGTCTACAGCGTGACGAGCGAACGCTATAACCACAAGGATAATTGGATTGTAACTATTATCAAAAACATTTTAGTTTCATTAACATGGAACTAAATTGTTCATGAGCATTCAAAGTCTGACAACAAATTTGACCTGTCTTTGGTTTCAATAAATGCCTCCCTTTGTCAATTTTCTGAGCACCAAGGATTATGGTGAATACGGTACTGTTAATAACATTGTCATTTCTATAAACACATTAATTCCTTACATTTTCACAATTTTTTTTAATTTTTAAATTTAGCATAGAAAAAGTGAAGGGATATCTAACATAATAGACAAGATTTTGTGTGTACTGAACTACAGATATGAAAGAACCAATGAGGCAGTCAGTGGTGTTACTGATCATGTGGACATGGCTGGAATTTGGTGGCTCAATCGTGTTATGTCCCTTCTAAGTCCCTTCTATTGGCCAATCGGATTCTACCTCTCATATCACTTGCAATTGCTTCAAACAAAATGGCGTTGCCCAGTTTATGCCAGTTACGTATGAAGGATTGTGCACATCATACTTCCACCGCTGACCTAGCTAGCTCCATCATGGTAGACAGTGTGAGAGCCTCAACAACCTGGTATTCAGGGAAACCTACATTGAGCAAGTTGACTAAAAACATGAAAATATCTGGCGACACCAGGCGATGGTGCACAATCATGCTCTGCAAATCCTGCAATCAAGCAAAATGTGCACAGCAGTTGCCATGTTGTTCACGAACCTTGTTCGGCAAGGGTGGAAACTGGACTTTTATATCATATATAAATGACAGAGCACAAGCCCATACTTGTATCCTCGGATCAATTGAAATGCAGTAGCTTCCTGAAGCTGTCACAGGGTGAGAGGTCATCTGATTTTCCCAAACATCATCCAATAACCCTAGAGATATGCAGGAATAATCTGAAGTAGGAAATACTATTGATCTACCAGGGTAATGGGTAGGCTAAAAAATAGAAAATACTCTTTGTTCTCATGCACTGCCGCATCACAAAGTCCGCCACATGTTTCGTTTTTATTTCCATTTTCAAAAAAAATAATCCTTAAATATTCCACGTCTTAAACACACGCAACCCCGGCAGTGAAATGCTACAATACTTAAAAACAACACAATCCAACATAGCGTGTAGTTACTTCCCTTTACTTGCGCACTGATGTAGTGCACAATTCGTGTTATATGTTATGGTCATGGCGGCAATAGTTGTGTGCTTGTTTTGCCGTTTGTAAATTTGGTCAAAGGAAACATGCATTTATTTATAAAACATCACCAGATATGATGATTTACAAATTCAATGGTATTTGTGTACTGTATGGCAGACAATGTTTCATACGCAGATAATAAGATTACATATGTATTTGTCTCGTAAAATAAGCTGTAAAATAAGCTGTAAATAGCGTTCAGGATTTTCTCCCCTTTCTATGGGTGATTTAGTTTAAAATACACTTCATGTCATGGCCAATATTATAACTGAAACGAAAAATTGATAGGAAGACTGAAGACTTTGTATCTCTAACAACTAATGTTCATTTCAAGGCGAGTTCATGGTGAGTTGATGTGATTTGCCAATCAGATCATACACGATTTTGCCAAAATTAATGTAAACAAAATTGAATGAAATCCTGCAGAAAAGTAATTTGTAATGGATCACAACGTAAGTACAGATACAGAATGAACATTTTTATGGCCAGATTGTGTAATAATAGGAGTAACTTGTGTACTTCAGTACGGATTTGCTGACATGCTTCTTTCAGTGTTATATGCTTACGATAACCTTTTCGTATTGTGAAATAGAATCATAGCTCATTGTATGCGTGTATTATGCACTTACATTGATGAGGTCGGATTCAATTGAGCCAGTATTAAAATTTAAATACAGGTAAATATTTTTAAGGTTTGTACAATTTATCATAATCCTTAAAGAGGCTGTACATAATGTTGACATCTCATAAAAGAAATATATGACTCAAGGTTTATTCTCCCTGCAGTGTTTTATTGTACGACAAACAATGACCACGAGTCATTTATTTCTTAAATAAACCATGGATTCAGAAAAATATATATTTACTCACTTTCCTGACCCAATATTCATCTAAGAGACCCTAAAAAACTTCTGAGCATCTTGGGACACTGGGACTACCAAAAACATATACCATATTCAACATAATAAGCACCCAGGGCGATCTCAAAACTAGAAATAGGGGGCAGAGTTGAAAACAATTTTTTTGGTTTATGCTGACAGACTAAAATTATATAAAAGAAGAATCTGTGCGTATTATACACAATAGATATATTTTCGAGAATTGAATTGCCCATAATTAAGGGTGCATATAACACACGAGTGCGTATCATACACGAATAAATAAGTCTTGTGTACATTGATCAATTGAAAAGGGTGCTAATTGGGATTGTTCACTAGCAATTACATTAGCAAATATCGCCGTGTGACTTATCAGAGCGGGGCGCTTATTACGTTGAATACAGTACAGCCAAAACAGAAACTGCTCACTCACAATAAGCTTTGGACTGTTTATAAGATAAATCCTGAAAAATTTAATAACTACCTGTAATATTACCTACAAATGTTGCAGCAGAAGAATAAAAAGGTGTTGTGATACATTGTAGTGTGATGGAACTGAACCTACCTGACGATGACATCGGAGTCGGGCCGTTTAGCGGTGAGATAGATGGAGAAAACTGCATGTGACCTTGATGACCTTTGGTTGACTGGTGTCTCTGCGACCCTTCTGTTCGCCTGACCTTGTAGCAGCAGACTCTGGGCGACCTCTTCACTAGCCGCGAGATGGACAGACAGATTTCTCAGCAGACATGATCCTCCTGCACCCTCTGCCACTCCAACCTGAAGCAGCCAGAGTGAGTGAGTTAGTTGGGTTTACTTTTAACATTATACCACTTCACACATTGTTCCCATGCTTGGAATTGAACCTGGTCAAGATTTCTCCTTGAAGGACCAACACTTTAAGCACTAAGTGAGTGAGTGAGTGAGTGAGTGAGTGAGTGAGTGAGTGAGTGAGTGAGTGAGAGCGAGCGAGTGAGTGAGAGCGAGCATGCGTAGGTATGATGCTGATAAACTAAGGATGAAAATTACTTCAAATTAATGTTCATATTGATCTAAACTTAAATATTAAATATTAAATTAAAGAAATGTGACCAACGTTTACTCCCCTTACACGTTTTTAAGAAAATGAATTTATTCCACATTTGGGAATTTGTTAATCCTTAAATCATAGAATATCAAAAACAATACAACCCTTCCTAACTAGTACGTTAAGTCAGTGAAACAATGGTTAAGTCTAATATGGGTAAAATATGTCTATTTCAGATATTGTCTACAAAAACCACTTCAACTTCGTCGCAAAGCAACTTAAATCTTTCACCTTTAAATTTTCTAAGTACTTGTAAACTTGTTTAAGCAGCCTCACTACCTGATAATCTTTGACATACAGAAATTCTGCTAACTTGTCAGTATGTTTTTACACTATGTGTCACAGACTCAAGAATTCAAAGTGGCACCTTAGCCATTGTAGTGTAGTATCAATGATGACAGACATGTCTGATTTGATTTAAACATATTTATTCACGGGATTGGGGAACAAGTTCTTCCAACTAAGATTGCCCTCTCCCTAAAGAGTTGTCTTATGGAGTTCAACTTCATTATTCTCTCAATGTTATGTTTCGGTTCACACGCTGGTAAATTTATCAAGGGTGTCACTTGCGGGTTCCAAAATGTTGCATTGAAAGAATACAGAATCAAGATACATACAATAAGTTAACTGACTATTCCAAAGGCTGATGTTCAGGTCAAATTTAAAAGGCTGAGTTTGTTCAGATTCCATACAAACAAGAAAGGCAAATATATTTCTTGATCAGTTAAGTTAATTCAATGGCCCTCAAAATAAACTATTACATCAACATCCTAGATCAGCAAAAAAAGGAAATACTTACAAGAAATAAAGAAAAGAAAAGAAAGTCTCTACCACATGGAACTGTAAACATATAGCACTGTCCACACAACTGCTTCAGGAAGAATTAATCCCAGTGAGAACAAGCTGATAAACAACACAGAGCCCAGCAACAATGGAGCATCAACTGTCAGTTATAGCTGATTACCCACAGGTCATAACAGCAGTATGACCTCCCTTCACACCAGTGAGAGCTGGGCCAGTGGACTCGAATCTCGGCAACACTGGAGTACTTGCATGGGGTTTGCCGCTCAGGGAGGGGGAGATTATCAGACTTCCGTAAGTATTTCAAGATATAATACACTACTCAACATTTGATAGGGATACTAGTGAGTGAGGGAGTTTGGTTTAACACCGCTTTTAACAGTATTCCAGTTATATCACGGCGTGTCAGCTTAATGTGGGAGGAAAGCCCGAAATGATGCAGGTCTCAGATGTTTACCACTTCGGTGAAACCCATGAGCATGGGTATGGTGCTGACAAACCTAGAAACATAATCGGGGCGAACCAGGATTCGAACCCACAATCATAGTTTTCTGGCGTGTCCAAGGGACGCAACTCTGCACAGTGAATTGTGGCGCCTTAGACGACTGGGCCCCCGTGCCCCCTGATAGGGATACTAGCTATTTCAGACTGTTCATGTAGCGAGACACCAACTTATTCACCTGTGTACTTAAGTTTCATCAACTTGAATCGAAGTTGCACATGCTTTAGTTTCATGGTATTATTGAATACTATTTGCATGACAACACATTCAAACAATCACATTCAGACGCACACCTGGATACTCCCTATATCCTTCTCAAAAGTTGAGTAGTATACCTAGTAAATGCTACCAACTCTGTACTCTTTTACCCCTTGTTATACATTCCAATTTTACTTGTTAACAAAATCTGCCTTTGAAACTGTGTTTGAAAAAGTGCTACATCATATTTCTACAAGGGCATTCCTCATGGTATGATCAATGACACTGTGAATAAAATAGTATATGTATCAGGTGAAATTTAGCTGTTGACATTATTCAAACAATGGGTCTTCAGGTGAATTTGTTCTTGCTATTTGCGAATATAATCTTTGGTAACAAAAACATCTCAAAATGTTCAATCACCACATGGTAGTATGCACCAACCTTGTTGCAAACTCTTTTAAAAAAAAATGGAATTGCATCATTAATTCAGAATGGATTGATAGATTTCTATAAATCTTTATTGTCTCAGTTGAACTGTATTTAGCATTCAGTGCTAGGCTTGTTCCTAAATTCAGGGTGGTGGACAGTATTTTGTTCAGTCACTGTCATATTAGCCACATGATTACAGTACATGTGGCCATCAAAGGACCATCTTCCCGAGGCAAGGGAGTTAACTGACTATAAAAGTCCAGTTTCCACCCTTGCGGAACTAGGCTGGTATTATGGAGTTACATTTTGACTGGACTAACGAGTCTATGCATAGTCCAATCAAAATCGAGCAACGAAATTGAAATCTGGTTCGTAAACTGTCGCGCAGATTTCGGTCGATTGCAGGATTTGCAAAACATGTGCACCGCCAATTTGTTGTCAACAGATAATTTCCAAACCTTTTCATGTTTTTAATGAAGGTGCTCGTGTGATTTGATTCACTTCGCAAAGTAAGACCCGTTTTATCACAACATAGATCTTGATTATCGCACATATTGTCTTGACTAGGTGCCACCGTTTTGTTTGAAACAAATGCAAGTGATGGAATCTGATTGGTCCATAGGAGAGGCTTAGAAGGGACATAACTCGTAATAACCACTGGTGGCGCTACGATCGAACCCAGGAATCCCAGCCAAGTTCGGCAAGGGTGGAAACTGGAATTTTAAAGTCAGTTAACTCTCTTGCCTAGGGAAGATGTCAAAGCACACACAAACACCAGGTGGAAGAAGGAATAGTTCAGCTCAAATAAATCTTCCAATGACTTTACATACAAATCTACAGTCTAAAGTATAAAGCATCTGAACGGAGAGTGAAGATCATTGGTTCGATCCCCTTGTTCATAAAAAATGTGCTCAAAAAGGCACCTGGAGCTTATAGATTGCGCTTCATGTGCAGTCATGTTAGTTTTAAGCGTTAGACAGTGTTAAGACTCCCGTAGGAGTAACCAACACATAAGCATACAGTAACTGTTAGAATTAGCATAAGTTCTAGATTTTTAGTTTCTTTCATTTGAGGTTTATTCATCTTTCCTTCACATAATAACAGGTAATCACGTTTAGTTCCTTATAGATCTTCATAGTTTTTAATAGGTTATCACGTTGAGTTCCTTGTTTCATTTAAATAGGGAAGTCATACAAATTTAAGATTAGTTTTCATTTAAGTTAAACCACGCTAAAAAATATTCAGTTCCACTGCGCAACACCCCTGGCCGCACCATACCAAAAGACGTTGAAAGATGGTACTTGTCTTGGACTCAGCATTAAGGGGATAAAACAAGGATGGGTGAACATTAAACCCCATCTCACCTGCAGTTATAACATGTTCAGGTGCAACATCCTATATATCAATACATGACAACCCAGCTGTTGCAGCAACATATTCATCAGTATAATAAACCTCCAGTGATGTCCTCCTATCGTTTTCCTGTCGGGTTAAATCTCATAAATAGGGATGTTATACAGTCCCCAGGACTTTATTAATACAACTTCCGTTTATTTTGTAACATGAATGTTTCTCGCTTGAAATTTATTTTGCATTTGAACACAATATTATGAAAAGTAAAATCAAATGACAAATGTTTTCTTTATATTCCTGTGGATCGAACACGCAGCCTTCGTATCTGTGGTCCAGTGAGTGTACCAACAGGCTTCAGAGGTGCTGATAAATCACAATGCTTTTAAGAATGTCTTTTTCAAGTACCTGCACGCCAGCTACAGATATTTTACGCCCGTTTCCTTAGGTTCATGGAAAGTATGTTTGAAACATGAAAATGTTGATAAATGTTGTTTTAAGTTTCTTTTTTTGGTTTATAAGTTAGATAAAACACTTCACCTCGGTTTTATCCCTTGGATTCAGGTTTTAAATCTCATAAAAACCAGAGGGTAAGTGTTTTATCTTACATATAGCAACTGCTCCCATCACCAAAACAGACGCAACCACCCCCACTCCTCTTAAGTAATAATAATAATCAACAAATTATCGGTATTACAGTCATGTACTGGGTCCTCAAGTTGTGTTTTAATGTGTGAAGACTATTTCAACGGTCATGATTCAGGCTTTTTTCCAATGAATTAGCTGTACTTAATTCAATTAACAGGACATTCATTAATCCCAGTTACTGATAAATCAGAGGGTTTTTGATAAAATACACAAGTCTGTAGATATTAACTTGAGGTTAAGAAAATTGATGAGGATGACAGTAAGCTACAGTCAAGAGGAATTGATGAACTCACATACACACACACACATGCACACACACATGCACGAACACACACACGTCTGTACACACATGCAGACAGACGGTGGGTGCACGAGGAATGATGTCATACATTGTGCACCTCAGCATGCAGTTATGACATATACGACGGAACAAGCTGATTAAACTCTGGAATGTTTTACAAATTGCGGCGCCATCTGGTGTTCCTTATTATCAACATTGTCCTTTAGCAGTTTAGTGTCTTTTCATGCACACTTTACGTTTTTTTACCAGAATCTGTTTGTTTTTAATTTTTGGGGTATAAAGTTCATGAAAGAATACCTATTAGTTTTAGAGATATGATCCTGACCCAAAAATTAGTACAGACAGACAGACAGACAGACAGATAAATGGATGGACAGACAAGCTGACTACGCCAGTATGTAATATGCTACAGGGGTCAGTTTTATCAATGTATCTAAGTCAGAAGTATGCATGCCCTCTGTCAATATTACATAGTCACAGCGACATGTACATAGAGCAAGGGAGATAACTCAGGATCAATGATTCAACTTGTTCAGGTGCAAAGTGGGAAGAATGAGAAAAGAGAATGTGTGGCCTACCTTGGGTAGTTGTGTGAAGGGAGAATGTGTGACCTACCTTGGGTAGTGGTGTGAGCGGAGAATGTGTGACCTACCTTGGGTAGTGGTGTGATTGGGGAGAATGTGTGGGGTACCTTCGGTAGTGGTGTGATTGGGGAGAATGTGTGACCTACCTTGGGTAGTGGTATGAGTGGGGAGAATGTGTGACCTACCTTGGGTAGTGGTGTGATTGGGGAGAATGTGTGACCTACCTTGGGTAGTGGTGTGAGTGGGGAGAATGTGTGACCTACATTGGGTAGTGGTGTGAGTGGGGAGAATGTGTGACCTACCTTGGGTAGTGGTATGAGTGGGGATAATGAATGACTTACCTTGGGTAGTGGTGTGACCGTGGAGAATGTGTGACCTACATTGGGTAGTGGTGTGAGGGGAGAATGTGTGACCTACATTGGGTAGTGGTGTGATTGGGGAGAATGTGTGACCTACCTTGGGTAGTGGTATGAGTGGGGAGAATGTGTGACCTACCTTGGGTAGTGGTGTGATTGGGGAGAATGTGTGACCTACCTTGGGTAGTGGTGTGACCGGGGAGAATGTGTGACCGGGGAGAATGTGTGACCTACCTTGGGTAGTGGTGTGACCTACATTGGGTAGTGGTTTGACCGGGGAGAATGTGTGGGGTACCTTAGGTAGTGGTGTGAGGGGAGAATGTGTGGGGTACCTTCGGTAGTGGTGTGAGGGGGAGAATGTGTGACCTACATTGGGTAGTGGTGTGAGTGGGGAGAATGTGTGACCTACCTTGGGTAGTGGTGTGACCGGGGAGAATGTGTGACCTACCTTGGGTAGTGGTGTGAGTGGGGAGAATGTGTGACCTACATTGGGTAGTGGTGTGAGTGGGGAGAATGTGTGACCTACCTTGGGTAGTGGTGTGATTGGGGAGAATGTGTGACCTACATTGGGTAGTGGTGTGAGTGGGGAGAATGTGTGACCTACCTTGGGTAGTGGTGTGAGTGGATATAATGAATGACTTACCTTGGGTAGTGGTGTGTGTGGGGAGAAAGTGTGACTTACCTTGGGTAGTGGTGTGAGGGGGAGAATGTGTGACCTACCTTGGGTAGTGGTGTGACCGGGGAGAAGGTTCGAGCACCTGGATTCAGTAGGTCATAGGCCACTTCTTGATATATCTCCATATAGGAGATGTGGGCAGTGATCTCCTCATCCGATCTTTGCTCCAGACTCTTGTAGATCATGGACAGGGCTCTGGAGAAACAAGATATCACTGGATTGTCAGACTTGTTAAAAGGTTGTAATAATTTCTCAAATTTTATCTTTTTATCCATCAATGTGAAGAACTTTTGTGTGTTAAATTTCAATCAGAGGTCCTCAGTGTGATTTGTATCCTCTGACAGACCAATCAGAATCAAGGATTTTAAATAAACTTAAGACACAAAGTTTTAACTCATGTGAGATCATGACCAGTAATATCAGTGTGTAAAATTTCATTTCTCAACTTAAATAGTTTTTGAGAAAACTTGTCCCCATTGAGAAGCGGAACATCTTCCTGAGGCAAGGTATTTAACTGTCTGTAAAATTCCAGCTTTCGCCCTTGCCAAATTAGGCTGGAATTAGGGAGTTATATCTTAGCTGGACTAATGAGTCGAATGAAATCAACATCTGGTTCGTAAGCTGCACTGCACTACGATCAAGCCCAAACATTCCAGCCTAGTTTGGCAAGGATTGAAACTGGATGTGTACAGTCAGTTAACTCTTTTGCCTCAGGAAGATGGAAGCGGGACTGATGGAAGGATGTACGACAGAAGGATGGACGGATGCTGTTCCTATATATGTCACCCTACTTCATGGCTGGGATAATAACACAGCTGAAAGAAGGTGCTATGCTGAAGTGTTGGAGAACTCCTGGGAGAACAGGACCATGTCTAAGTTACCAAAGGACATTCAAAGATGGTACTTCTTGTTACCCTGTCTGGCAATCGGCATTAAGGGAATAAAATGAGGACCGGTCAGAATAATGTGTCCGAGTTGGGGTATCAATGTCAAACTCACTGCTATCTCACTGGGCTAGCACTACAATCCCGACAGAAGTTGGAACAAGTACATGCAGCCATACACGTTGCTATTTAAGCACAATAATCTTGAATGCAGTGTTAAACCCCATTTCATCTCACCTTGATACGACATAGCAGACAAACAGAACAGAGAAAGTCTAGTTACACAGATTCATATTGTTCCCTTCGTATACACTGATAGTCAGACTTTCGAAAGTTGATCACAGAAATCAGAAATTCTGACTAAAACAAAGACATTTTCTGACTTTATTACCATTACAAAGTAAATATACTGAACATAAAAAGTTAAGGACCATGAAGATTTTGGGGTTATATGTTTTTGTAGTGAAGACTGAGCACACACTTCATAAATATATCCCCAAAACTGTTCATGATCCCTAACTGTTTGTTGGTATATAGTAGAGGACTTGTCCTGTAGAGTCTCACCTTGGCGCCAGTCCCCTGTCGCTGTATTTCCTGGCACTCCCCTCCACAGTGTATGTTTTCCCGGTCCCGGTCTGGCCGTATGCAAACATGGTGCCATTGTAGCCATTGAGGAAACCTGCAAGCACATCACAGCATGTGCAGCCACAGGTGAGTAGGTATGGTTTTACGCCGCTTTTACCAATATTCCGGCAAAATCACGCGGGGGGACACAAGAGATGGGCTTCACACATTGTACCCATGTCGGGACTCGAAACCCTGGTCTTCAGCTACCCTACCGCCCCTCAGCCACAACAACAGAACACACTTTTATTACCTGTAAGGATAGAATGAAAAAGCAGTATTCCAGTTGTATGATTGTGGTCTGTGAGTGAATGGGTCAGACAAACCAGTGACTGGTATTATGAGCAACTTCCCATGGTACTGGGTATTTTCACTGAGCCTGACCACCAATCCGTAAGTCATCTCTTGTCCATAGCACAGCCTGCTGGGCCATATTCTAACCCAGTATCCAAGCATCCCAGTGTCCAGGGTTCTCAGACTAACCATCATTCTCATTCCACTTCCTTGGTTTACCACTGGTACTGCCTCAACATCCTTACTCACCCCATCCCACTGTAGGCCTTACTAACCCCACCACACTATAGGCCTTACTAACCCCATCACACTGTAGGCCTTACTAACCCCACCACACTGTAGGCCTTGCTAAGACCACCACACTATAGGCCTTACTAACCCAAATAGCACTGTAGGCCTTACAATCCCCACTATGCAAGAGGACTTACTAACCCCACCACACTGTAGGCCTTACTAACCCCACCACACTGTAGGCCTTACGAACCCCATCACACTGTAGGCCTTACTAACCCCACCACACTGTAGGCCTTACAAACCCCACCACACTGTAGGCCTTACTAACCCCATCACACTGTAGGCCTTACTAACCCCACCACACTGTAGGCCTTACAAACCCCACTATGCAAGAGGCCTTACAAACCACACCACACTGTAGGCCTTACTAACCCCACTATGCAGGAGGACTTACTAACCACACCACACTATAGGCCTTACTAACCCCATTACAATGTAGGCCTTACTAACCCCACCACACTGTAGGCCTTACGAACCCCACCATGCAAGAGGACTTACTAACCACACCACACTGTAGGCCTTACTAACCACACCACACTGTAGGCCTTACTAACCCCACCACACAGTAGGCCTTACGAACCCCACTATGCAGGAGGACTTACTAACCACACCACACTGTAGGCCTTACTAACCCGACAACTGTAGGCCTTACGAAACCCAACTATGCAGGAGGACTTACTAACCACACCACACTGTAGACCTTACTAACCCCACCACACTGTAGGCCTTACGGACCCCACTATGCAGGAGGACTTACTAACCACACCACACTGTAGGCCTTACTAACCCAACCACACTGTAGGCCTTACTAACCCCACCACACCGTAGGCCTTACTCACCCCACCACACTGTAGGCCTTACTAACCCCACCACACTGTAGGCCTTACCAACCCCACCACACTGTAGGCCTTACTAACCCCACCGCACTGTAGGCCTTACTAACCCCACCACACTGTAGGCCTTACTAACCCCATCACACTGGAGGCCTTACTAACCAACCACAATGCTGAGGCCTTACTAACCCACTCACACTGTATGCCATACTCACCCCACTATGCTGGAGGCCTTACTAACCCCACCACACTGTAGGCCTTACTAACCCCATCACACTGTAGCCCTTACTAACCCCACCACACTGTAGGCCTTACTAACACCATCACACTGGAGGCCTTCTTAAGCCCATCAAACTGTAGGCCTTACTAACCCCATCACACTGGAGGCCTTACTAACCCCATAAAAATGCTGGAGGCCTTACTAACCCCACCACACTGGAGGCCTTACTAACCCCACCGCACTGTGGGCCTTACCAACAGTGCCACACTGTAGAGGCCTTACCAACCAACCCAGTGTAGGCCTTACTAACACCATCACCTCATAGGCCTTACTAACCCAACAAAGAACTTGTTATGGTCTTTTGCCCATCCAAACTCTTGGTAAAAATTTAAAATTAGACTTGACTGCAGTAATTTTCATAATATGCATCACACACTCACCATTAATAATTTCTCGGGCAACTCCATCAAACACATTTTCTTGTGTGTCACTGACATCAAAGACTCTGTCAAAGTAGTACTCATGACGAACTGTTGCCCGGAACTTTCCTGGAGAGCCATAGTCCCGAAATATCTCCGGAGTCCGTATTTGTAATGTGGTGGGCGTCACATCATACTCGTCATAGAGGGCGCTGCTTGGCTTGAGACGGGCATAGGTCTTGATGTGAGTCATGCTCAGAATATAGCATTAAGAGCATTCAGATGTGACTACCATATCTCTGAAACATTTAGCACAAATACTCAGTCACCTACTACGTCTCACTATCCCTGAACCATATCATTTTCCGACCCCGTGAAGATCCGGAGTAGAATGGGTCTTCAGCAACCCATGCTTGCCCTAAAAGGCAACTATGCTTGTAAGAGGCGACTAACGGGATCGGGTGGTCAGGCTCACCGACTTGGTTGATGCATGTCATCATATCCCAATTACATGGATCGATGCTCATGATATCAATCACTGGATTGTCTGATCCAGACTCAAATATTTACAAACTGCTGTCATATAGCGGGAATATTGCTGAGTGCAGCATTAAACAAGCATATCACATATCCAGCCCTTTCTGTAACACACATGCCCTATATGAGCCATGTTTACATTTTCCTCTGGTTCAGAATCTCTCATCTCACACGATGGCTCCTTTTCAGTTTAAATGGAGTTATTTGTTTCTATCCCATGCAAAATAACTAAGTCTGGACCAGACAATTCCAGTAACTGATGTTATGAGGAACCAAGTCTCCGAGCCTGACCACCCGACTAAGTCGCCTCATTCAACCCATCTTCCCGAGGCAAGAGAGTTAACTGACTTTAAAAGTCCAGTTTCCACCCTTGCCGAACTAGGCTGGAATAACTGGGCTCGATCGTAGCCCAACAAGTGGCGTTTACAAGTTATGTCCCCTCTAAGCCTCTCCTATGGACCAATTAGATTCCACCTCTCGCATCACTTGCGTTTGCTTCACACAAAATGGTGGCGCCATGTCAGGACGATCTCATCGATAATCAAGATCTACATTGTGATAAAACGGGTCTTACATCGCGAAATGCATCAAATCACGTGAGCACCTCGATTAAAAACATAAAAAGATGTGAAAAAAATATCTGCTGACATTGAGTTGGCGGTGTACATGCTTTGCAAATCCTGCAATCGACTGAAATCTGCACGACAGTTTGCGAACCTGATTTCGATTTCAGTGCACGAATTTGATTGGACTTTGCTGAGACTCGTTAGTCCAGCCAAAATGTAACTCCATAATACCAGCCTAGTTCGGGCAAGGGTGGAAACTGGACCTTTAAAGTCAGTTAACTCTCTTGCCTCGGGAAGATGCATTCAACCAGCATAGGGACTACTTCGAACCAGGAATCCCCATAAGTCATCATGTCAGAATTTGATGATTGTGGGGCTGAATCCAAGACTCATACAGATTAGGATACTTGGTCGACAGCTCTGTGCTCATGCTCTGTAGATAACCTGCACCACCTTGGACTCTCCTCCCAGACTAAGCTGACATGATATGACTGAAACACCGTTCAAGGCAGACATTCGCTCACCAAGACATACAGGAAGTTGGCTGTACTTGTTGTCTTACTGACAAACTGATCCATACTGTATCTTCTTACAAGCACAGGTCTCTGGGGAACTATATTCTTACCCAGAATCCCCACGCTTGGACATGACTGAGATGGATGTGATTACCATTAAAAGAGTGACAGAAATGGGTCATTAAGTTCATCATGTTCATATGATTTCAATAATTATCCTCATAAAGATGTTGAAAACAAGATGTTTTTATGTTTCTAAAGTTATATCTTTGCATCATGTACAAACATACAAATTTAGTTACATATTCTCTTAACACCACCATAATAATCATCATCAACATGATACATCTGTCTTCTTATCAGAAATATCGGCACATTATCATCAATAACAACAAATAGTTGGTACCTAAAGGGACAGTACATTTGCGGTTGTGTGTGTTTTCTGATCATTTCTTAATGGCTGAGTCACAAAATACTTATTGCCAGCTTGGTTAGATTAGAGGCCAGTGTTTATCAAAGCCTAGATTACAATCAATGAAAATATGCCTTGTCATATGAAGCCAATCACTATCCTACCCAGGGTTCCTTGCGGCCAGCCAAGTACCTCGGTCACATCGTCACATCTTACACGGTCCATTCATGTGTTTTTCATCTGTTTCATTAGATGAGGCTACAGACTTAGATAACCAAACGTCATGAAATGTTCAACTTTCTTTGATAAAATATTGAAAATGTGAAACATTATCATTTGCATATATATCCTCCACGTCCTGTCATTGAAGCACTGCAGAGAGCAAAATCGACAGGTCACTTTCATGTGTAAAGCTATATTGTCATGCACTTCATTGTCGCAGTTGTAGTAGTTTATTTAACTAAATGCTTGCATTAGGCCTGTCTGTTCTTATTTCAGACTAAGTGTGTTTTTTCACAAACAAGAGAAAAATCCTGGCACAAGTTGAGCTTGCACAGTTGTGGTCACCAGAGCGGAAACAGAATAAGGCGAGCAGAGCAGAGTGACATCGATGGTTATCGGCTACTGTTTACAAACAAAGCTTCAGAACGGTCAATGTACTAGCCCTTTAAATGTTGGTTCATAGATTTTATAATAAATTCAATAAATTTATGATATTTTGGCAAGTGCTAGAAACTAAGCATGTCCTGGATGATTGCTGCTCCCATACTTTAATCTCGGGATCCTTGTTATAACCTTTTCACATATGTTTTGGGATTCAAACCACAGACCTTCTGATCAGAGGTCAGATGCCATGTCCACTTAACCAAAGAGGTTAACTTGGTTAGTAAGTTGGGAAGCTATAAGGCCTGAGGGTGTCATCTGTGGGATGACTATGCCCTGCCACACTAGCATACCTGTCACTTATCAATATCACAAAGGACTGGTCTTTCACCACAACTTGCACGTTAAATGGTAATTTGGGGAAGCCAATTGAAATTATGCATAAATTATTTACTGAACACCTCTGAACTAACTCAGTCAGAGGGGATGCAACAATGAAGACTCACGCCTTTTGTTGACAGTTGAACCCCCTCATTAATTGATTGCATCAATGTTCTCGGCTAGCTCAGTTACTGAAAGTCACCTTTTCGAATAAACATGATTGGGGTTTATTCAAAAAATTATATTTCTCATATTTTCAATCAGCATTTTAGTGAATTTCAAGCACAAATATTTCGTACCCTTCCGCGTGTTGTACAATCGATAAGCCTACAAACTTTCCAAACAGGTGAAAACTTGCAGGAATTATATCTTCCCGTCATCGCATTTTGCCCCATGACAGTTTGTTAAAACAGTGGATAGTTCATTTACATACATGTACACAATCTAGAATAATACCGTGTAATTCATCTTTGCGTGTGGATCACAATACAAACAAGCTGAGATATGTCGGCAAACATTAGTGGAAACATGTGCCATCACTTTGACAGGCTCCAAGGTAAACAAAAGTTTGTACTATTTTCGCAACGACATATCAAACTGAAGAATAATTGTGATGCACTCTACTGGCGATAACATGGTCCTACAAATATTCGTCGGCACTCCAACAGAATTATGAGGTTATTAATATAACTTCGCGGTGCATATATTTCGTATCGATATTCTGTTTCTTATATACTGTTGTGAGACGTACCTTCAACCAAGGAGTCTCCAAAATCTGATTCAACCACCTGTAACGCGGATGTGACTGTTCAAAGTGACCATACAGGAAAGCAGGGCCAGATCAACTTGCCTCGAGCTTGGATAATAGTACCACGATTTAGATCGGTTTTGTCTGTATGGAGGATTAGAAAACAATAGGAATTAATTAATACCATGTGGTAAACTGGGGCATTGTCTCTGTGTAATTTGGGTAATCATTAACCGTTAGATTGATCTACATAATAATCTTTGACCTAGCATACAGAATAAGTGGTGTGTATGTTTTAGGGTCTGGAACCAAATTTGCTAACTCGCCTGAGCCTAATCCTCCTTTTGCCAGTGACCGCCTCTGCTAATTATTACTATTTTCACATGTTACACGTGCAGATTCGCTCTTCAATCTTATATTTAGTTAAAGCTTTAGATACCATTTTGACTTAAGATATAATCATATAACATGCCAACATGACACAATAATTGTATGCATGTTTATAGGGTCAAAACGATAAGGTGAAATATAAATAATTTATGTCACATTAATGATACAGTATACAAGTGATATGTATGAAGGTGGCGTGTACTTTGCTGGCCCCTTCCCTTGATAAACTATCCATTATATGAAGCATTATTGACACAGCTCAGACCCCCTTCTCAATCTCTTTTACAAAGGTGGGGTAGCCTAGTGGTTGAAGAATTTGCTCATCACGCTGAAGGTGGGGTTCGACTGCCCACGTGGGTACAATGTGTGAAGCCTACTTCTTGTGTCCCCTCGTCATATTGCTTGAATATTGCAAATAGCAGAGTAAAACTATACTAACTCACTCCTACCTTCCTGTCGAAGACAAATAATTGATCACTGGGACAAGAATATATAATCCGCTACTGATAACTATATAGTATATTACCAAATTGATAGATGGCACCGCTGTTTTGTGAAAGCTGGAAAACTTTTAGGAACAGGTCATTTATAATAGGGGTGGGAACAAGGGGCCAAACATGAGTCTCAAGGGGAGGGTCCTAAAACATAATAGACAGTTTTACGGGGAGGGTCATGAACAAATAAACAGATGCTTATAATAAAATATAAAGTGCTTTAGCATTTTGTATTTTCAGGGAGGGGCTTGAAAAATGTGACAAGCATAAGGGAAAGGTCAATATCTTCTGTACCTAAGTGCACCCCAAACCTCCAACCCCCCCCAACCCCCCCCCCCCCCTGGTAATGGTAATGAGTTATGTACCCGGTACGACCAGATATTTTAATGCTAGTCAAAGACATTCGTATCCAACCTCATAACGAGAAAGGAATAAAACTCCCTTAGGCCCCCTTCACAACTGTCCCCCAATCCCGGTACAGGAAACCCAGGAAGGTCCGGGTTCGATTCCTAACATGGGTACAATGCGTGAAGCTCATTGCCGGTGTGCCCCGCCGCGATATTGCTGGAGTATATGGAAACTTCATCAACTTAAAGAACACGGTAAAGCTTGTTGATAATTTTAGCGTCAGTACGAATCAGCCAACAAAAATGTACTGTGGCAGCCAATGTGTGAATGGGTTCGCCAATCTTTTTGTGAAGTCACAAAACACGTTTTGTGAACGGATCAGCCAATGCCACGTGTGAACCAGTTGACTATAGTTCTTGAACATCCCGCACTGTATAACAATGTTGACGGAAACGTGGATGAGCAATAAGCATTGAACGTTTCATTTGGTAGTATATTAAGAAGCATGTGTGTTTTCTAAATCTCAAATATTATTTTGTAGCCTCTTGTTTTATCGTATTTACATGTTTTTGATAAAATCATTTTCAGTGTGCAACTTTGTGACATTGTCTCAAATTAGGACGGAGCAGAAACGATCTTGCGTTCTTCCTAAAACGTGGTGTTCTGTTTATTACATGCATTGTAAAAGGTTTTATTATACTTTTATTTACAAGTTACGTTGATGTTGACCATAAGAAGTGTTATAAGTCCACATACAAGTAGTATTTATTTTCAAACTTGGAAGCACCTGCTTGATTATCTCCCCTTGACTATACTCGTATCCGGTGTAAACATCACTCTCATTTCCTGGTTACTATAACTTGTTGCAGCTCTATTGATGGTCAGAAATATGTAAATAAACATTCATCAACATTATTGTTATCGCTTCTCCTCTATTGCTGCTTCTTTGCGAACCAGCCAAACCTGAAGAAAAATGAAGTATTGTCGTCTGGCTGCAGCTGTAGCCTACACTGGCTACAGCATGGTTTACACTAAAGTCACAGGAACTCGTTATTGGTCAGTAAATAAAAATATATACCCCCTATATGTAAGTAGAGAACATATAGGGGGTATATATTTTTATTTACTGACCAATAACGACTTCCTGTGACTAAAGTCCATCGTTTGTACACATGACAGATCAGACAAGATCGCTATCTGTTTATGATAATCATTCTAAGTATTTTGCTTTGGACTGACGACCCTTGAACTCCAGAACCTTTACCTAAAGATAGAAACATAACATAACTTGGAATTTAAGGTCAGGAGACAAACATGATGTCTTTCATGCATGTTATTGTATATTTGTTAAAACTTTCTATATACGATTAGATTGCATAACATGTTCAGATATATTTAATTAAATATGGTTTTATTTATGATTTCAGATTTTCAAATGGGATTTAGGATAATTCATTTCATCACAAAGACCATGAAGTATTTGATCCTCAAGACATCAAGAACTTCTTTAATATGATTCATTAATCTACAGTGCAGTTACTTACATCAGTTGTTTGGGCGATATTTTCAAAATGGGTGGAGCATCAAGCACTCCGTCTGACGGCACTTCACCCCAGATTGCCCGTGACCTGCGTTTGCTGTTAGGGAACTTTGATAGACTTGACCCTATGACTCAGAGACTGGTGAGTCTTGGGAAGAAATGCCTGACGTCCACCATCTTAGATTCCCAGCAGAATAACTTTAAGAGATTGGAGGAGTTTAATGCTGAAGCGTCTGGAGCTCCTCTCCAAGTTCCTCTGGGTGGTGCGGAAGCTGGTGCAGAAGCTGCTGGCTCTACAGCAAAAGGTTCTGATAATTTTTCTCCTGTAGACTTTGAAAGTTATCCGTTTGAAGACACGGTAGGGGACTCGAAAAGTTTGTCTGAACTCAAAACAGAAGATAGCCATGACCTTCACCTTGAAGGGTCTAGTGCCAGAGGCATGGAGCAAGATGAGGATGCTGGGTTATTTCTACCGCTGACACAAGCCAGACCGATATACCTAGGTCAAACATATCCCAGATGGAAATACATGTACAAACTTCAAAACATGTATGCACTTTGTGTCCCAACAAGGAAGATAATTTACATCCAACCAATTGATGAATTTCCTGATTTCATGACAGAGTTCAGGATTTCAATGAAGTCATTATCATTAGATGTATTCAGTCTGCTTCAGGGATTCACACAGATATTTTTCAGTGGGCTTGACGTGACAGTGTTGCCAAGTGTGTCCATGGAGAGAATGGGATGGACAAACCTTGTGAAGACTCGTTGTCACAAAGAGACGGAACAGAAACAGTACCGAGCCAAAGACTTTTACCCCCTGCTGAAGAGTAGTCTTCCTTCAGACGGTCACTGTGTCCTTGGACTGGTGTGGACAGACCTGTACCCCGAGGATGACCTCAACTTCACCCTAGGGGAAGTGTCCTTTTACCACCGAGCTGGCATCTTCTGTTTTGGGAGATTTGAAACAAAGGGTTTCAACAAGGAGACACACAAGGACATCACTGAAGTGGACGGGTTCCTCGTCTGGAAACTTATACGAGTACGTTGCTATGTGTTTTTGATTTGTTGTTACTTGTTTCTTGGGCCTCTCATTTGGTACCTCCGATCCAGATTTTTTTAAAACATACAGATTGAACATGTTGAAAACTTTTTGTAACAATTATTCATGTCAGTGTGAGCAAATGTCTCCACACACTGTCTGTTTGTTCATTAGCACCGAATTTAATATCTCCTCTTTCCCAGGTCTATCTATTCTAGTATGGCAGGTTTCACCTCATCTTCAACAACCCTCCTTAGATCCCTTCCTACCCTCCCTCTCTTGTGTATTGGCTTCATGAGTTGATCCAGCTTGTTCTATGTAAGTGGGGGACACGGGTGGCCCAGTTGTCTAAAGCGCCGTGATTCACTGTGCAGAGTTGCGTCCCCCGGGCACGCCAGAAACCTATGATTGTGGGTTTGAATCCCGGTTCGCCCCGATTATGTTTCTAGGTTTGTCAGCACCATATCCCGTGCTCATGGGTTTCACCGAAGTGGTAAGTCTGAGACCTGCATCACTTCGGGCTTTCCTCCCACATTAAGCTGACACGCTGCGATATAACTGGAATACTGTTAAAAGCGGCGTTAAAACCAACTCACTCATTGTATGTAAGTGAGTGAGATGCAGTGTCAGACAAATCAGGTCTCTCTTCCTGATAACCACTGTCCAGGTGATGAGTAAATGAGTGAAATACTGTTGTCAGTTGATGTGAATTGGAAACTGTATATCATTTTAAAGTGCTTGGTGTCAGATCAGCAACTACAGGTAGGCCAGCTATCACAATTTTCATCAATGTCACTCAACAAATTGTTGACTATAAGGGTTTTGAACTTATTATTAAACAGTTAACACTGTGGTAAAACGTCAATAGATTCTGTTTTAAGCAGTGTTAAAGCAAACACTAAACAATCATAAACTGAAACAAAAATTAAAGGAATCTATCAAACCGCACACATGAAGTTCAACTGAACATGCTTAATGATTATTAGGTTATAAGAGAGAGATGCACTTTGCTATATAAGTGCAATAATCTTGGATGCAATATTTAAACCCAATTTAACCTCACCTCTGGCCAATAGTCCCAATCAGTGATAGATGAATCCCTGTAATGTATGAAGCTAATGTTTGGTTCTTATCTCACCCTCCTTATTGCTGCAAAAGATATACAGTAGTAGGAACTTCTTGAAATGTCTTTAACATCTATGTTCACAGATACTGTTACTATCTTAGGGTATTCATTGGCATTTCCATGCTCCAGCTCTATGGTTTAGTGGCCAGGGAACGGTTCATGATCATGTTTTATGTATACATGTATTTCCATTTGTTATACACTGAGTACATTTCTGAGTGTCTGCTTACATGACTTTCACTTGAATCATAGATATCAGGGGAAACTAAATTCTGTCATGTCGATTCCCAAATTGAAACAATATTGAAATCTGTACGTAAAAGAATTTAGGGTGACACCAACAACCAACCAACAAATGGTATACAATCAACAGTTGTATCCCTACATTAACTAGGTTTACAAATCAATACAAATTACTGCACAGCAATTACAATGGCAGTACACAATAGAGTGGTAGTACAATATTTAATGGCAGTATAAAATGTGAGAGCAGTGGAAATGACAAGAATAATAATCACCTTGCTGCATTTGGGCTGATAAGTGATCCCTACACAAAAGCTGGTCTTGATGTAATGTCAGAAAAATGTGAGACGAAATGTGAGATGCAACAGGAATGTGCCCGCTCCACTTAACCAGCTTCCAGCACTTTACACACAGTACCAGACCAGTCCAGTGTCACTGGAACATCACAACATATTCCACATGTTTCTATAACGCTTGACATCCATCTATGCTATTCTGTAAATTTACAGTTAATTCGAGCATCTAAATATATAATAAGTTCCTCACTACTGCTTACATCAACTAGTACTACATTCCTGACACCTAAACATTGTCCACATACAATGCAATTGAACTTCTGAATCTCAACAGAAACAATTTAAAGAAATGTAATAAAGTTACAATTATTGTTTAACAATAAATTACACTGCCATATACGCCTTGTAATTTATGTTTTGTAAACATGAGAAACGAAATATAAGCTCACTAAAAATAGGCCTGTCAAGATGCGGGTGGGGTAGGAGGTCTTTTGTCTAAGATATAAGTAACTATGTTGTACAAACTCTCATGTTAAATCACTGAATGAAGGTGAGCCTTTGTACCTGTGGTCCTTTTCTCACTTTTCTCCCCAGGTAAGCCTACAGGGAACATGTTGAAGATTTGATCATAGCAGAAATAAGTTGCTTAATCATGCTTGGTGTCAAGCTGGAAGAGATTCTTCGAGTTTAATTCATTCCACATTTGTTAAAATCTCATTAAAATCAGATTTTAGTTCTCGCTACCGCTAAACAATCTCATTAAAATCAGATCTTAGTTCTCGCTACTGCTAAACAATCTCATTAAAATCTGATCTTAGTTCTCGCTACCACTAATTAATCTCATAAAAATCAGATGTTAGTTCTCGCTACCGCTAAACAATCTCATTAAAATCAGATCTTAGTTCTCGCTACCGCTAAAAAATCTCATTAAAATCAGATCTTAGTTCTTGCTACTGCTAAACAATCTCATTGAAATCAGATTTTAGTTCTTGCTACCGCTAAACAATCTCGTTAAAATCAGATTTTAGTTCTCGCTGCCGCTAAACAATCTCATTTAAATCAGATTTTAGTTCTCCCTACCGCTAAACAATCTCACTAAAATAAGATCTAAGCTTCGCTACCACTAAACAATCTCGTTAAAATCAGATTTTAGTTCTCGCTACCGCTGACCAATCTTGATAAAATCAGATCTTAGTTCTTGCTACCACTAAACAATCTCATTAAAATCAGATCTTAGTTCTTGCTACTGCTAAACAATCTCATTGAAATCAGATTTTAGTTCTTGCTACCGCTAAACAATCTCACTAAAATCAGATGCTACTGCTAAGCAATCTCGTTAAAATCAGATTTTAGTTCTCCCTACCGCTAAACAATTTGTTAAAATCAGATTTTAGTTCTCGCTACCGCTGACCAATCTTGATAAAATCAGATCTTAGTTCTTGCTACCGCTAAACAATCTCATTAAAATCAGATCTTAGTTCTTGCTACTGCTAAACAATCTCATTGAAATCAGATTTTAGTTCTTGCTACCGCTAAACAATCTCACTAAAATCAGATGCTACTTCTAAGCAATCTCGTAAAAATCAGATTTTAGTTCTCCCTACCGCTAAACAATCTTGTTAAAATCAGATTTAAGTTCTCGCTACCGCTAAACAATCTCACTAAAAATCAGATGCTACCGCTTAGCAATCTCTTTATAGTCAGATTTTAGTTCTCGCTACCGCTAAACAATCTCACTAAAATCAGATCTTAGCTTCGCTACCACTAAACAATCTCGTTAAAATTAGATTTTAGTTCATGCTACCGCTAAACAATCTCACTAAAATCAGATCTTAGCTTCGCTACCGCTAAACAATCTCATTAAAATCATATCTTAGTTCTCGCCACCGCTAAACAATCTCGTTAAATCAGGCTTTGGTTCTCGCTACTTCTAAACAATCCCACTAAAATCAGATCTTAGCTTCGCTACCGCTAAACAATCTCACTAAAATCAGATCTTAGCTTCGCTACTGCTAAACAATCTCATTAAAATCATATCTTAGTTCTCGCCACCGCTAAACAATCTCGTTAAATCAGGCTTTAGTTCTCGCTACTTCTAAACAATCCCACTAAAATCAGATCTTAGCTTCGCTACCGCTAAACAATCACATTAAAATCAGATCTCAGTTCTCGCCACCGCTAAACAATCTCGTTAAATCAGGCTTTAGTTCTCGCTACTTCTAAACAATCCCACTAAAATCAGATCTTAGCTTCGCTACCACTGAACAATCTTCTTAAAATCAGATCTTCTCGCATCATGGAATTGGCTCATATGAGGCACTGTCTTCATCAGCTGATGAACGTCAATAAATACAACTTCAATCCTCAAATAAACTCACTGATTTGCTGTCTTTTTCAGGCCATCAGCCATGAGTTATGTCACCTGTTCGGTTTACGTCACTGCACCTACTTCCACTGTTCTATGAACGAGAGCACCTCTCTGGTGGAGGCCATGGATCAGCCTCTCTTCCTGTGTCCAGTCTGTCTACGGAAGCTGCACGAGGTGTGTCGCTTTGATGTACTTGACCGCTACCAGCAGATGCTGGGCTTCCTGTTGGAGCTACAGACACAACTGCCCAGTGTCCACTGTGATAAGGCCATCGTGTGGCTGCAGAACTGTATTTCCTTTCTACAACAACCAGCATCAGCTACCGGTAATTGACTTGACTGAAGACTGTGCTGCTCCCTGTGATGTCAATATCTTGTCAAGGAGACTCTAAGACTGCAATGTTAATCTCAATGTAATGTGTCAGAAGTCATTCTTATCAATATGTATTGGATAATATATGGAGGTCGCAGAGTCTTCAATTTGGTACTGACTGATAATCTGTTTTTGTCTTTTATTTAGTCAGATCATGATTTTATTTTGTCATAAAACAAATTCATTAAAATCAGATCTAAGCTCTCACTATCGCTAAACAAATATCTGCCAGCATCCTATTACTGGTCATGTCAGAACGACCTTTCACAAACTTTGACCGACCAATGAAGTGACTTGGAGGAAGCTCAATATTACCCAATCAACATGATCAAAAAGCAGCTTTCTTGAGCTTTAGGGCACTACTTTGAAAATGGTGACTTCCATTCCAGACTACACTTGAATAATATTTTGACAGTGTTCTTGATTTAAAATGTTAAAACCGAACAAAAGAAAATTCTGGATTGCCTTATATGACCGAGATTGTAGGGCAGTACTTCTCATCGGCTGCGGGAAGAATTCATTTCCCATTAAATGAAATATAGAAGATGTATAACATTCGGAATCAGTTGGGGGGCTGTAACTGTCGTTCGGAATACCCTGTGTTAACCTTTTCGGGGTTGAATGATTAGAAATGCATTCTGACTATCACTTTCCTGATCTTGTAAGCTGATGGATTGGTTGGATGAAAGGTCTTCGGATGGACCTGTAATTGGATGTCCTCAGATCTTTGTTTAGTAGAAGTGAGACTTCAGATCTAATTTTAATGGTCTTAAAACATGTAAATTAAGATGAATGTATATATAATATAAGGTATAACGCAGCTTTTCCTCTGTTAAGATCAAAATGTGATTTTTATACACTTCAAAATAGTGTGGCATGATACTTCATATTGTGAACTGAGCATGCTGAGTATTGTAAAAACATTGTGAGAAAACAATTACAAACAGAATATTTATTGAGTCACTTCTTCAAGATGTACGATATGTTTTCTATATAAAGAGCAGCCAATCAGTCCCATGTTTTTTCACAACACATTGTTTTCTGCACAACCAGTATGCCCAGCAAACAGTATCTCTTGTTGCAGAATCAAGAGCAAACTTAAATATATTATTTCATCTGGTTGATCCCTGAGTGTATTGTTACTATGGTTACGTTGCTTAAAACACAGATGACCAATCTTTTGTTTGTTTGTTTGTTGTTTAACGCCGCACTCAGCAATATTCCAGCTATATGATGGTGGTCTGTAAATAATCGAGTCTGGACCAGACACTCCAGTGATTGACATCATGAGCATCGATCCACGTGGTCGGGATTAGATGAAATGCATCAACCAAGTCAGCGAGCCTGACCACCCCATCCGGTTAGTAGCTTCTTACGACAAGCACAGTCGCCTCTTACGACAAGCATGGGGTGCTGAAGACCTATTCTACCCCCACAGGATTACGTTTGTCCCGACAGAGTGAGGTACTAGATCTGTGAGATATGAAGGTGTCATATTGTTATATATTTTATTAAAAAAACACAATTTACGTTTTATCCTGCACTCTGATAAGGGTTCCCAGGAAGTTTCAAAACTTTTTGACGGAAGTATAGGTTTGTAAACCAGTTACAATTCTTGTTGCTTCCAGTTGGAGTTTTTCTAATCTGTCACTCTGCTCTTTGGTACAACCGTCCCAAACTTCACATGCGGTCTAATAAACATTGCATAAATCTCATTCAACACACTACGACAGAGCATATACTTAAGCTCTCCCTTGATTGAATCATCTTTGATGTTGTTTTAATAATTGAATCTATATGACATGACCACTTCCCGATGACGACAATATAACACCAAGGCGTTTGTGTGTTTTAACATTTTCAGTGTTTTGATTATCCAAAAATAATTTCAAAGTTCTCTGCGGCTCTTTTGTGGAAACAAGAATTGATTTTGTTTTGCTCAGATTATATACAATTAGCCAGTCTTGAGCCCATTCAGTAATTTTGCTTAAATTGCTATTCATAGTAGTTTCTATATATTCAATGTTATTAGATGAAATGTCCGGGGATGTGTCATCGGCAAATAATCTTGTTGCACAGTTCAATTTATCAGTAATATCATTGATGTACACAAGGAACAAGAAAGGGCCTAGTACCGATCCCTGTGGCACACCAGCTTTTAACTCTTCTGTGTCAGACAACGTTCTATTTAAACAGATTATTTGCGAGCTGTTACGTTATCAGCCAGCCACTCTAGTAATTCATTGTTTATACCATAACATGACAATTTACATATAAGCCCACTCTGCCATACTCTATCAAGCACTTTTGAAATATCGCAGAATACCACACAATAGAACTCTTTGTTATCGATTGCTTTACACACTTGATTATATAATTCCACTAGTTGGTGGACGGTCGAGTGGCCAGCTTGGAATCCTGATTGGTATTTGTACAGCAACGAATTCTCATGAAAATAATTGTGCAAGTGCTTGAACACAACTCATTCGAATACTTTCGCGATACAGCTTTTCAAAGATATTGGTCTATAATTTGAGGATATCGTTGGCTCACCTTTTTTAATAGTGGCATAACATGAGCTATTTCCTTTGGCTTGGAAATGTACGCGTTCTCAATGAGATATTAAATAATAGACATAAGACTTCACTTACACACACACGATTGGGATACGATTACATGCATCAACCAAGTAATCGAGCCTGACCACCCGATCCCGTTAGTCGCCGCTGACGACAAGCATGGGTTGCTGAAGACCTATTGTACCCCCGATCTTCACAGGTCTCGTCCGATGGCAGATGACCAGATGTTGGAAACACGGAGACATACACCCGAAACGCATGTGTCCAAACTTGTTGTGTCACCTTGGGCAAGTGACTTTGTTCAAATGTGCCTCTGTTCACCCACCTGGGAATGGGTACCCGATATGTGAGGTGGATGTAAAAACCCTCTAGCGCCCATAGACTGCTTGGCTTGTATACCCCCAAGGGAGTAGAGAATGACACCTGGAATGCAAACGGATCCACTGGTCGATGAACAAATGAAACCTGCATTTGAGATGATAATAGTACCTGGGAACCTGTGGAAAATAAATGTATAATGATATAATATAATAAATACATGAATTTTACAACGAATAATAACATATTTTTTGTAACATTTTGCTTGTCTGCTTGTATAACGTTATTTCATATTTTTGTACATGACGTTTTAAGAAAATGGAGACTGCTTCAGTCTCTACATCAGAAGGCCTGTAGTTGTAAGAACATGTAGGAACATTCTAGCTTAGTTTGTGTTTGAAAAATGTGTAATTTGGCCTAATAAGTTCCAATGAAGGCTTACTTGTGAGTGATCCTTTGCGTTAAACAACAAACCAACCAACCAACCAACCAAATAATATTGGAATGTTCTTGAAGTTTTTAAATCATATGGTGGAAGACCTGTGGTTGTGAACATGTAGGAACTTTCTAGTTGAGTTTGTATCAGAAAAATGTGTAATTTGGCCTGATCGGTTTCACGGGGGGGGGGTTACTTCTGAGTGATCCTACGAGTGAGACGACAAACAACTAACAAACAAACAAAATTGAATTGGAATGTTCCAGTAGTTTCTAAATCATACTTGGAAGACATGTGGTCGTGAGTACATGTAAGAACTCTCCAGTAGAATTTGAGCAAAGGGACAGTTGTTACAGGGCTCACCTGTTACTGGCTTACTTCTGAGTGACTTGGTTTCATACACTACCAGGGCGGGGTTTTCACGGACTGGTCGACCTTTCATTATCAAATCCCATTGTCATATCTGTATGTTGTCATTATATTTAAGGAAATCATCTGTGGCAAATTGTTTGTAGTGATAGTTATTGGAGCATTGATTTTGATATTGATTCTAAGTTTTAATACAATTGCTTAATTATACCATTCTGTTGTGTTTTCCATCACATTTCACTCATTTTTTATGTATCAAATACCCGGAGGTTATCTTTAGATCCTGTCAGTCAAAAATAATGGGCAATTTGTATGACCACTTGTTTAGAGCGAAGAAAAGATTGGGATAAACCAACACAGAAATAATGAAAATGTAAATGGGGTTAATTCACAATGAAACATAACAGTATTGGAATGAATGTCAGAAATGGCACCAGTTAGATAAATTGGGAGTGTATAATAACTTCAGCTAAACTATACAGAAAAAACTAGCCAATAACAAATTCATATATACTGAACAAAAAAGTTAGGGATCATGAATGATTTTGGGGATATTTTTATGAAATTGCGATTAGTTTTAACAGCAAACAGATATCCCCCAAAATATTCATTATCACTTACCTTTTCATATGAGTTGGGTAATTGTTAGTCTGTGTGTGTGGGTAGGTTGGAGGTTTCGTGGAGGGTAGTATTACACTAATATGCATCACACTGTGTCATTTATTATAAAAAAAACCCCACTAATACTGCTGTGACAAGAAAGCTTCCATCTGCTTTGCTAGTCATTATTTAATACTAGTACTGAGTTAAGACATAAAGCATTGTCACCGATTAGTCAGTTACAGCCAGCGACAGCAAATCTACGTTTTAGGAATGAGACAGGTGCCTCAGCCGTCTAAGGTCCTGCAATTCGCCGTGCAACATGTGATTGTTGGTTCGAGTCCGCTCGCCCTGATGGGCATGGATACGGTTGTGTGGTATGGGCGGTTTGCTGTCAGGGACTCATGAAGGCATGGGTACGGTTGTGTGGTATGGGCGGTTTGCTGTCAGGGACTCGCGAGGGCCTGGATACGGTTGTGTGGTATGGGCGGTTTGCTGTCAGGGACTCGCGAGGGCCTGGATACGGTTGTGTGGTATGGGCGGTTTGCTGTCGGGGACTCGTTAGGGTATGGATACGGTTGTGTGGTATGGGCGGTTTGCTGTCAGGGACTCATGAAGGCATGCATGGATACGGTTGTGTGGTATGGGCGGTTTGCCGTCAGGGACTCATGAAGGCAGCATGGATACGGTTGTGTGATATGGGCGGTTTGCTGTCAGGGACTCGCGAGGGCATATATACGGTTGTGTGGTATGGGCGGTTTGCTGTCAGGGACTCATGAAGGCATGGATACGGATGTGTGGTATGGGCGGTTTGCTGTCAGGGACTCGCGAGGGCATGGATACGGTTGTGTGGTATGGGCGGTTTGCTGTCAGGGACTCGCGAGGGCATGGATACGGTTGTGTGGTATGGGCGGTTTGCTGTCAGGGACTCGCGAAGGCATGGATACGGTTGTGTGGTATGGGCGGTTTGCTGTCAGGGACTCGCGAGGGCATGGATACGGTTGTGTGGTATGGGCGGTTTGCTGTCAGGGACTCATGAAGGCATGGATACGCATGTGTGGTGTGGGCGGTCTTACTAGGAAAAAGTAAAACCTCTCAAGAGGTTATTACGAGATAGGATGATACCTACAATACAACAGGCAAAAGTGGCAGTAGGTTTACAACTGATGATTCTATTGTCTTTTTGATCAAATTATTTTGGAAAGTTCCTACATGTACTCACGACAACAGGTCTTCTTCCACCATATGATTTAGAAACTTTAAGAACATTTCGATTATATTTTGTTTGTTGTTTGACCTCGTGCCTTCTGCTAGACTGTTGCAGTCTCCATTGTATGAAAGAAAATGTATCAAATAACCTAATACAAGCATACATGTACAATCAAAATGCTACAAAGTATTGTTGTATTCGTTGTAAAATTCCTATAGGAAACAACGTCAGCATCCTGACATCCACAACACCATGGATGTATATTACACCATTTCAAGCTGTATCACAGTGAGTGTTTGGGTGAGTGAGTGATTCTTCATCGACAATGTTTCAGCCAGAAACTGACATACCTGAGAAAATAACCATTTCATATAAAAATATAAGCGAGAAAGCAATTTCCATAATCATACTCACTTCTACGAGAAATCTATTCTAAAAACTTTCTGAGAAGTTGGTTACGACGAACAACATACCAAATTAAAGCAGCAGAATTTCCTTACGACCTGTGACCATGACCTTTAACCCCGCTCTTAGCACTTCAGGGTTATCGCTAACATGTAACATGTTTAGTGCATGATCTTGAGAGTTCATTTGATCAGTGACAAGCGATTCAAGGTATATTCACAATGGCCTCGCGGCATATAAACCAGATATGAAGATGTCATTAGGTGTAATGTGTTTGTTTGGGATTTTTATAACGTCGCATTAAGCAATATTCCAGCCAAGTGAGACGGTCTGTAAATGATCAAGTTTAGATCAGACAATCCAATGATTCACATCATGAACATCTATCCTTGCAAATGGAATAGATGACATGAAATCAACATAGCATGATTGCAGGATGAAATCACCAAATATAACGAGGTTATGACGCAAGTGCGGTCAATAGCCTGTGTATTCGGAATAAAAAAAGTATTCAGCTGGCCTTGACAAGCTAAATACAAAGTGTATATTCCTTTTATACAGCTTAATACAAATTGTTTATTCCGTATACAGCCAAATACAAAGTGTTTATTCCTTATACAGCTAAATACAAAGTGTATATTCATTTTATACAGCTTAATACAAATTGTTTATTCAGTATACAGCCAAAAACAAAGTGTTTATTCCTTATACAGCTAAATAAAACATGTTTATTCCGTATACAGCTAAATACAAAGTGTTTATTCCTTATACAGCTAAATACAAAGTGTCTATACCTTTTATACAGCTAAATACAAAATGTTGATTCCTTATACAGCTAAATACAAAGTGTATATTTCTTTTATAAAGCTAAAAACAAAGTGTATATTCCTTTTATACAGCTAAATACAAAGTTTAATCCTTATACAACTAAATACAAAATGTTGATTCCTTATACAACTAAATACAAAAAGTTTATTCCTTATTCAGCTTAATACAAAATGTTTATTCCTTATTCAGCTAAATACAAAATGTTTATTCCTTATACAACTAAATACAAAAAGTTTATTCCTTATTCAGCTAAATACAAAATGTTTATTCCTTATACAACTAAATACAAAATGTTTATACCTTATACAACTAAATACAAAATGTTGATTCCTTATACAGCTAAATACAAAATGTTGATTCCTTATCCAGCTAAATACAAAGTGTTGATTCCTTATCCTGCTAAATACAAAGTGTATATTCCTTTTATACAGCTAAATACAAAATGTTTATTCCGTATACAGCTAAATACAAAGTGTTTATTCCGTATACAGCTAAATACAAAGTGTCTATACCTTTTATACAGCTAAATTCAAAATGTTGATTCCTTATATAACTAAATACAAAGAGTTTATTCCTTATTCAGCTAAATACAAAACGTTTATTCCTTATACACCTAAATACAAAATGATTTTACCTTATACAACTAAATACAAAATTTTGATTCCATATACAACTAAATACAAAATGATTTTACCTTATACAGCTAAATACAAAATGTTTATTCCTTATACACCTAAATACAAAATGATTTTACCTTATACAGCTAAATACAAAATGTTGATTCCATATACAACTAAATACAAAAAGTTTATTCCTTATTCAGCTAAATACAAAGTGTATATTCCTTATCCAGCTAAATACAAAGTGTTTATTCCTTATACAGCTAAGTACAAAGTGTTTATTCCGTATACAGCCAAATACAAGGTGTTGATTCCTTATCCAGCTAAATACCAAATGTTTATACCTTATACAGCTAAATACAAAATGTTGATTTCATATACAGCTAAAAACAAAATGTTGATTCCTTATACAACTAAATATAAAATGTTGATTCCTTATACAGCTCAATACAAAGTGTCTATACCTTTTATACAACTAAATTCAAAATGTTGATTCCTTATACAGCTTAATACAAAGTGTATATTCCTTTTATACAGCTAAATACAAAGTTTATTCCGTATACAGCTGAATACAAAATGTTTATACCTTATACAACTAAATACAAAATGTTTTTACCTTATACAGCTAAATACAAAATGTTGATTCCTTATATAACTAAATACAAAAAGTTTATTCCTTATTCGGCTAAATACAAAATGTTTATTCCTTATACACCTAAATACAAAATGTTTATACCTTATACAACTAAATACAAAATGTTGATTCCTTATCCAGCTCAATACAAAGTGTTGATTCCTTATCCTGCTAAATACAAAGTGTATATTCCTTTTATACAGCTAAATACAAAATGTTTATTCCGTATACAGCTAAATACAAAGTGTTTATTCCGTATACAGCTAAATACAAAGTGTCTATACCTTTTATACAGCTAAATTCAAAATGTTTATTCCTCATACAGCTAAATACAAAGTGTATATTCCTTTTATACAGCTCAATACAAAATGTTGATTCCTTATCCAGCTAAATACAAAATGTTGATTCCTTATCCAGCTAAATAAAAAATGTTGATTCCTTATACAGCTAAATACAAAATGTTTATTCCTTATACAACTAAATACAAAATGTTTATTCCTTATCAAGCTCAATACAAAAAGTTTATTCCTTATCAAGCTCAATACAAATGTTTATTCCTTATCAAGCTAAATACAAAGTGTATATTCCTTATAGAATATATTTACCTCCCCAAAACGCACAAGTGTGATAACCTCTCATCATGTCATTTATATAATGTTCAAGATATGTGCCGATCAGTTGACACGTGATGGGATTATAGGTGAAGGGTGGCGAAGGCTATATTATTTCTTCGGAAATTGTACACAACAGGGCGGCGCCATTGATACTCGCTCGCATGTGGTAGTTCCCAGAGTGGGTTGTGTTTAACGCCGCTTTTAACAGTATTCCAGTTCTATCACGGCGTGTCAGTTTAATGTGGGAGGAAAGCCCGAAGTGATGCAGGTCATAGACGTTGACCACTTCGGTGAAACCCATGAGCACGGGCATGGTGCTGACAAACCTAGAAACGTAATCAGGGCGAACCGGGATTCGAACCCACAATCAAAAGTTTCCGGCGTGCCCAAGGAACGCAACTTTGCACAGCGAATAGCGGCGTCTTAGAACACTGGGCCACCCGTGCCCCAGGTAGTTCTCAGAATGAGGCTATGAATTTGACCTTGTATTACGCATACCGTAATATATAATCTAACAACTCATTAGATTTTATGCATGGGCACTACAGTACCTAAGGACGGTATTTTCCCGGCAATTAATATTTTACGTTACACGATCAGTTATTAGTCAGTGAGAGTGACAACAGGTTACATGTATATAGTTCCAGTTGAAACTTGTTTTTAGACAGTGGCTTAACTACCATGTTGGCAAAAAGACAATTGCTTTCACATAATTTTTCAAGGTATGTTTGAAAGCACAAAACAGCTTTGTCATATAAACATTATTTTGAAAGTACATGGAGCCTCCGATTGAAATCAAATGAGGTACTTGTGATAATGAATATGTCTTACATGCCTGCATCACTTAAAGATATAGAATCCTATGTAAAGCTTTCCCTGCGCCATCAATATACCATAGATAAAGGGTGAAAAAACCCTCGGAATATCACCGATATCTATGGATACATACTGGGCTCTTATATTATTGAAAGGATCTCCACATATCTGATTGCCATCTATTGGAAACAATGTTATAAGGGTTGAGTGGCTTTCATATGTAAAATAAGTTCACTAATGTTCTTCGGCAATACGTTATGCTGTAAGAAACTCACTCTTGCCCGAAAGGGACAATGAAAATGTAGTAGTGGATGATATACAGAAGGTGGGGTCAATATAAGTTTGTATGTTTGTTGTTTGACGCCGCACTTAGCAATATGAAGGCGGTCTGTAAATAATCGAGTCTGGACCAGACAATCCAGTGATTGACATTATGAGCATCAATCCACGCAATTTGCATCAACCAAGTCAGCGAGCCTGACCACCCGATCACGTTAGTCGCCCTTTACGACAAGCATAGTCGCCTTTTACGGCAAGCAGGGTTTTTTGAAGACCTATTCTAACCCGGATCTTCAAGGGTATAAGTAACGGGGGAAAATAAACATATGACAGAGACCTAATGGAGGTGACGATTGGTGACAGATGTCCAACAAGTCAGTCTAAAAGAGAACATATACCATGTTTAGTTGTTGTATACCGCCGCGTTCATTTATCATAAATAATCCAGTGATGATCACCCGATCCATTTGGTCGCCCCTTACGACCAGTATAAGTTGCTGGTCACATATTCTTACCCAGACTGCCCATAAACGTAGAAAGTGAATTTACAAATTTAATTGCTTACCTAGCTGCAATATTTATGTTCACGCATTGACGTGTAAATGCCATGATCGATGTTAATGAAGCAAACAATTGCCTTGATGTACAAATGTTGATGTTTCATTATATTAAGTTATGTAAATTGTGTGGAGAATGATACTCGTCAACACGACAAATATCACTGTGATGTTAATGAAGTACTTTCAGTTCAACAAATACATTAGTGCAGGTATTTGGTATTCAATAATATATTATAACTTTAAATTTGATGAAGATAATGTTTGTTTTTTTCTGCAAGTGAACATATATATAGATCTGTCTGGGGCATACTGCCTTCAGAGTCTGAGGATAGTGACAATGTCGAAGCTGGAAAAAGTCAAGCAGGAGGTGGTGAAATACGACTATGTCCGTTTTTCACTTTGCGATTTGAATGGCACGAGTCGTGGCCATGTCATCAAAGGTCGTCATGCTGCTAAATATTTGGAACATGGTCTGGCTTTGTTTGAGGGTAACTACAATAACAAGCTGAAAATCAATTGATCTTATAATGTGGCGGCAGTGTGTTTATTTGACTGTTAGTCTCGTTGACTGGCCTATATTGTATCAAACTGTTTAGCTTTAGGAAAATTGAGTTTTACCAAGACTATGGTTTGATGTGTTATTTCCGATGACATGTCCATGAACATTAAGGAGATATATTTACATGTTGTCAAAAAAAGTCTATGCCAACTTCATTTAATACTGTTTGTTAAGAAATTATAAAATTTGACCTATTTGTGTAATTAGCACTCTGCATGTAAGAAACAAAAGCGAAAAGAAAAGATGATTATCTGTTATGTTTTGTACAATATCCTAAATTTAGTTTGGTTTTATTGTAGGCACTTTGGCAGTTGGTCCCCGAACAGAGCATGTGGATTTGAACCATGGGAATAACCACTTCTTTGGCAACATGAATATCTTTCCTGACCCCGACACCCTGAGGCCAATTCCTTGGGCTCCAGGGTGTATGAAGGTTGCTGAAATACTATGCGAGTCTAGGTGGATGAAAGACAACACTCCACAAATGGCATGTCCTCGGTTTGCTGCAAGAAAACAATTTCAAAGATTAGCAGATCTTGGATGTGATTTCTATTCTGGTCATGAAATTGAATTTACACTCCTTGACGAAACATTGCAGCCAGTTAATGATGTTCCTGATGGATACGGCCTAAGGCTAATGAACAAACACAGCAAAATCTTATTTCACTTTGATAAGAACTTTGAAGATTCCAATATTTCTGTTGAAAGATACTATCCTGAACTTGGTCGTGGGATGTTTGAAGCTGTAACAACACCAAAGTATGGAATCGATAGCCTCGATATGGCTTTCAATCTTCAGCAAGGACTTCTAGAAATGGCGGATCTAGAAGGTCTTACAGCTACCTTCATGTCTCAACCTTTTTATAATGAAAGTGGATTATGCGCGCATTTAAATTTTTCTCTCTGGACAAAATCTGGAGAAAACGTGTTCTACGATGCTGATGCTGCAGACAAACTGTCTGTAATTGCCAAACAGTGGATTGCTGGTATCCTGAAGCATAGTAAAGCTCTCCATGCATTCACATCCCCTACAGTCAACTGTTATAGGAACATGAGCTTGTTTTTATTTGCTTCGTCTATCAACTGGGGAATAGAAAATCGCGCCGCATGTATCCGCGTCAAGAACGACGGCCCTTTGAGAACTTACATTGAAAACAGACTTCCCAGTTCTAAAAGCAACGCATATCTCGTGGCTGCGTCTACTATTGCTGCCGGACTGGATGGGGTCATCAAGAAGATGGAATGCCCACCTCCAGGGATAACAGAGCACGATGAACCGCTACCTCGGTCTTTGGCTGAAGCTTTGGAAGAGCTGGAACAGGATGAGGTATTGTGTGATGCCTTAGGGGAGGAACTGGTGACATGGTTTGTCAAGAGCAAGAGAGATGCGGATATCCCCATGTTTGAGGGTGTTGAGACTGATGAGGAAAGATTTGCTATTGAGAAAAAGGCCTACCTATAATCAAATCTTGGTCATGCAACATGTATATTATATCCTCGTATGTTGCCTTTATTTTGAAACGTTTATGATTTATGAAGATATATATGATTTGTGTGTATCCATGGTGTGGTTTCACAGTAGAGGAAATATGCTATACCACAACTAATTATGTTTGGTAACCAAGATATGAATGTATCCAACATACATTATATGAAGAAGACACAGATATAATTATTCAAAAGGCCATATTTCTTCTCGGGTTGTGGATTTTATTACCGAATAATTTGGTAGGTTGAGTTATATCATGATAAGATGCTTTTGTCTTTTATTTGGGTTGACAGGTGGAGGAAAGAAAAAGGCCTGGTATCACCGATTCTGGTCTTTTCATATAATTAAATAAGTGATAGTTAGTTTATGAATTTTGTCTTCCTGTTCTTAAGTGCAATCATTGCACTCATGACAGTGTTTTCAATGTAGCATTTCAGTAAATGCGTGTCACTGGATTTTATGTTCCATCGATCACTTGATTGTCTAGTTTAATTTTCACAGCTATTTTATTCTTTACATCAAATGTAATCTGTTTCGGATGATATTCTTTTGCGTTGACGTCTAATATTTAGAGACCAGTGCCTACAAATAACTCCGTGAATGTAGGATATGATTTGTATTGAATGTAGGAAACTGATTTTTACGGTACCATAGGTGGAAGTCAAAAATGGAATGTTTAGTAAGTATGATATTTAAGCATAAATATGAAGACAAGATATTTTTATCTTGACCTTTATTCGACCTTTTCACTCACTGTAAGAAAAGTCCAACTACACAAGCATGTGTATCATTTGGATAGATGAGATTTCCAAAGCTTAAACAATTGTGTATAGATGAGATAGCCAACACCTAAACAATTTAGTATACATGAGATATCCAGAAATTGTATTTGTATATATTGGTAAAGGGGAATGATTGCTATATGTTGTTATATGAGTGTTCTGTAAGTGCAGAATCGACCAATATTATAAGCACGTTTGAAATAAAACTGATATAGTGGAGTGTAACGTGACTGAAATTTGCTGAGTTTCAATTAGTACTCCACTCTGTGAGCGGGATTTATTACTCTTGCAATGATGTTGACAGGTAAGTGATTGAGGCGTCTGGTACTTTTCCTTGCGCGTTGCACGGTATGTGAGTGGACATTCTTGTCGAATGCACACATCGGATTAGCAGACGGAGGTGATTGCACTGGCGGTGACATCTATTTTATAAAGTGTTGAAATTGGTTTGTGCTGAGCTTGGTTTGGTTTGTACGGTATGCCACTGTCACCAAGTGGACAAGCTCTGGTGTATATAGCCGATTAGCCAACGGAGTGGATTGCACAGGCCCAGGAGGTGAAAGCTTTATCATAATCACTTGAAAGTGTTGAATTTGGTTTGTGCTGAACTGTCGATTTGTACGGAATACAATGTATATGAATAGTCATCATGATCTAATGCAATGCCCGTGGAATTGCGCATATTATTTCTATATTGAAATCATGTTGAGCTCAGCTTGATCTTGATGAGATAGTCAGCAAACTACGAATGTAAATTATTGAACAACAGACATAAGAAAATAAATAAAAATGTTACAAATACAAATTATTAACAAGGGGAATAGCAAATACGATCAAGTGAGTTTTTGGACGTGAAAAGCGACCGGGTCCCATTCCTAGAGGGAGTGTACCGCATCTCAACGTCGCAAGAGTGAGTGAATTAGTATGGCTTTACGCCGCTTTTAGCAATATTCCAGCAATATCACGGAGGGGGACACCAGAAATGGACTTCACACGTTGTACCCATGTCGGGAATCGCACCCGGGTCTTCGGCGTGACGAGCGAACGCTTTAACCACCGCCCCCAACTTTGCAAGAACTCTACGTTGATACCTATTGGTTGTAGATCGTACATAAGTTGAAATTGCAACTGTAGTTTTAAATAATCTAAACGTTCAAAGTTTATAACAATCTCTTTGTGCAATGTGAAACACGTCGATCGACGGCAAATTCAATGTATGGGTTAAATTAATAACTGTATTTTACCATGATTTACGGAATTGAGAAGACCAACATGTTACTACATTTACAAAGGGCACGGGCGGCCCACTTGTCTAAGGCACCGCGATTCACTGTGCACAGTTGCGTCCCTTGGGCACGCCAGAAACCTATGTTTCTAGGTTTGTCAGCACCATACCTGTGCTCGTGGGTTTCACCGAAGTGGTAAGTAAGTAAGTGAGTTGGGTTTAACGCCGCATTTAACAGTATTCCAGTTATATCGCGGCGTCTCAGCTTAATGTGGGAGGAAACCCCGAAGTGATGCAGGTCTCAGACGTTTACCACTTCGGTGAAACCCACGAACACGGGTATGGTGCTGAAAAACCTAGAAACGTAAGTGGGGCGAACCGGGATTCGAACCCACAATCATAGGTTTCTGGCGTGCCCAAGGGACGCAACTCTGCACACGGCGAATTGCGGCGCCTTAGACAACGGGGCCACCCGTGCCATCCATCCGGTCCCTAAGAAAGATGAGGACAGTGATCCGCCTGACCCACTGTGGTACAGGCCCCTCACCATACTCTCCATCCCCTCCAAGATCTATGCTGACGTCGTCAACCACAAGCTATGCAAACACCTCGAAGCTCAGAATATTCTTGTTCACGAACAGAACGGATTCAGAAAAGGAAGGTCTTGTCTCGACCATGTTCAATGTTTATATAGTATTGTTAATGATAGAAAAAATAAACATTTTCATGTTTCATTAATTTTAAAAAAGCGTTTGACTTTGTGAATAGGGAACTCATGTTGTTCAAACTCATGGAATATGGTATTTCAGGTTATATTCTCCAAGCTATCAGATCCCTGTATGACAATGTACTTTTGCAGTGTCCAAGTCAACCAGTATGAAACTGATATCTTTCCTGTACAGTCAGGTGTCAAACAAGGATTTGGGTTATCGCCCACTTTATTCTTGCTACGGAGTTGCACTTTAACGAGTTTACAAGACTGAATGATAGTGTAGTGCAACCTGTGTTATCATACTGCTCCGGTCTGTGGGGAATATTTAAATGCCGGGAAGTATATGCTAGCCAGAACAGAACATGTCGTATAATCCTTGGAGTGCCAAGAAGTACGTGTAACCTGGCTGTGCGGGGTGACATGGGGTGGCTGGACCCTCAGTGGAAACTGTACATGGAAACTGCCCGTCTGTGGTCCAGCACATGCCTGAAGACAGACTTGTATATAGGATTCACATGTGGTCTCTCGCACGGGGGCAGTCCTGTTTAGATGCTGTTGAAGATGAAAACCATTATCTACTTCAATGTTCTTTTTATAATGATATCTGCCGTGGTGAACGCCCGACCTTATTCAGTAATTGCTCTGCCACTAACTTGAACATATTGCTTAACGATAATACCGTAGCCCCTTCACTGCGTGGATCGATGCTCATGATGTCATTCACTCGATGGTCTGGTGAGACAACAATAAACCACATTGAACTGAATTTGAATTGAATTGAATTGAATTAAACTGTATTTGGTATTGAAAACATCCTATGACATGCCACCAACTGAATTATATTTACATATTATTACACCTAAAGCCCCCCCGGCAGCTTTAGCTATTTTATTCGCAGTAAAAGTTAAACCTAAGTGCTCTTGTAGCCAAATTCCGAGATATTAATAAGCGTGTACAACTTCAATGTTATCAACCCCCATGAAAATTTAAAGAAGACGGGGCTCTATAATGTACAATTTGTCTTCTTACTATTAAGTTGGAGTCGCCACTTCCTGCACCACTGCACGACACAGTTTAGCATCAACTGAAGTGTGTTCATCTGCCGAGATAAGGGTTATATCATCTGCATATAAACGTAGACTGAGTATAGTGCCGTCGATATCAATGCCACATTGTAAATCATACATTTCCTGAACCAAATCGTTTATATATAATGAGAATAATGTCGGAGATAAGACGGAACCTTGTTTTACACCGATACTAACTGAGAACATATCTGTATGACGGCCATTAACAGGTACACAAGACTGATTATTTTCAGGCATTGTTATAACTGCTGTGTAAAATCTTCCATTAATGCCTAATCACAAAAGTTCTTACCACAAACAGTCCCCATTTACTCGGTCAAAGGCCTTTATTGCATCTACATAACAGACAAAAGTTGTAAGTCTCCCCAATTTCCTATTATTAATAATAGAATACAGGATGTAGATGTGGAGAAAAGTACTTCTTTAAAAGCGAAATCCGTTCTGTTCCTTCGCCAAAATGTCTTCCCCTTCAAGCCATTTAGAAAATCTAGAGTTTAATATATCGGAGTAAATTTTACACGGTATAGATAGCAATGATATGCCACGGTGATCAGTATCACATTTCTTAATAGGATAAATAATACTTTGTTTCCACATATCGGGACATGAGATAGTTTCAAAACAGTATGTAAAAATTTTCAGCAGCATATCAATGGATGATTTATTTTTTAAAGCTTCAGCTAGGATGTAATCTAAATCCACTGCTTTATCACTCTTAGCACGACTAACTGCCAACACCGCCTCCTCAAATGTTATCAATGCATCAAGGAAACTAGTGTCAATAGTGGTAACAGAAACTCCTTAGTTAGCAACGTCATCTAAAATTTGTTGAAAATGGGTCTCAACAAGTAAATTACTATGTACAACATTATATAAAGACTTTATACTTCCAAGAATTGAGAACTTATTTCTTATCTGTAATAATACCCCCCCCCCCCCCCCCCCCCCCCACACACACACCTACCCCTCTCATGAACATGAATTACCTCCCAAAGAATAGGGCTCCGTTTTTCACTAGCTATACCACGTTTACCTATTGTTTTCCAAAAATCACGGCTTTTATCTGTTTGTTTACGTTAATCCAAATGTGGTAGCTGTTCTTGAGCCCGCCCACTTTTACGTAACAACTTCAGACACATAGTTCTGCTTTAACATCTTTTTGCTAATGGGCGATTTGCACTTTCGCCATTCCCGCTCAGAAAAAGTTGCCTTCTTTAGGTTCTTTTGTACAATTGGGAGCGACGTTTCAGTGTAGGTTCTAACACCGTTATCAATGGCAAGTAAGTGATAACGGTGTAAGAACCTACACCGAAACATCGCTCCTAGTTGTAAGTTGTTCATCTGTATATCTTATCCTCACTTACTTAACTTTTATATAATCTACGTAACATAATTTTTCGTAATTCGCATTTATTCGAAAAGTGAATGAAAAACGTTTGAAAATAATAACGCTTTTGAGGACAACAGTGAAATTTGTTTTGGGATGAAATTACCAATATATATATACTAAAAGTATATAGTTAAAGAATATCATTATGAACCCTTTCTTGTATTTTTGCCAGAAATCATACATATATCTACACAGCTATATTTACATGCATGGCACAAAGATTCACATCAATTCATAATGTTGATCATGTTTGTAGCTATATTTACATGCTTGGCACAAAGATTCACATCAATTCATAATGTTGATCATGTTTGTAGCTATATTTACATGCATGGCACAAAGATTCACATCAATTCATAATGTTGATCATGTTTGTAGCTATATTTACATGCATGGCACAAAGATTCACATCAATTCATAATGTTGATCATGTTTGTTTATTTGTACCTTTCGTTGTTATCGTTATCCTGAGGATGTTGTATATAATGTATGAGAGGTAAAAAAAACAATACGTAATTCTACATGCGTTTATGCTTGATTGCAAACTCAAATTCTTCCTCTGAATACAAATGGGTTTAAATCATACACATGAACAGGATATAGGGGAAATGTAATTGAAGTAATTGGAGTAAACGTTTTTGCAGAATTGAAAACTAGTATCCGAGTGACGAAACGTTTTTCAAAATAATGTTAACCATACACATTTTATATATAATATAACATCGTTCTTATTTTAGTCCATATCAATTTTGAACCATGAAAGAAGGATGCAGATTGAGTATATATATTTATAGAACTCATTCCTAGTTGATCAC